AGCGAACGAGCTAACCTGAAGGAAAGTGAGCGCAGCGAACGAGCTCCAACCTAAAGGTGAGTGAGCGTAGCGAACGAACTTCAAAAAGAACCGAAATTTCTTAAACCATGTCCTCACTCATAACTGCTATAAGCATTTGATACTTATATGCCAACCCCGTACGAAGGACGGGTACTCTGCTAGTACTATTATAAAAAAGAGGTGGTTGCTGTATGTATGGGAAAAGTAAACGCGAAAACTACTGGTCGGATCGGGCTGAAATTCGGCATGATGATAGCTCACATTCCCGATTAACATATAGGCATATTTTTATCCCAAAAATCCTTTCGGGCTCCGCCCCAGTGGCTCTGGAGCAAAGGTTCCCATGTTAACCTTATGAGAAATGAAATTATTGAATCTTAACAGCTGTTTTAATTAAACAAGTTGGTTCTGTTCTGTGATGTTCAATAGCATTAAAGTTACAAGGATTACCAACAGGGTGCAGCACTAGCACTATTATTTCTTTTACATTTATGACAACAGCTAATTTGCAACCAAAAGGTGAGTGAGCGTAGCGAACGAACTTCAACCTGGAGGCGAGTGAGCGTAGCGAACGAGGTAACCTGAAGGCAAGTGAGCGTAGCGAACGAGCTAACCTGAAGGAAAGTGAGCGCAGCGAACGAGCTCCAACCTAAAGGTGAGTGAGCGTAGCGAACGAACTTCAACCGTGATTGAGCCATGCAAACGAGATCATCTTGAAAATTAAGAAGTTAAACGGGGCAAAGCTTGAGTATAATTGCAATAAGAATTTTATACTTATATTCCAACCCCGTACGAAGGACGGGTACTCTGCTAGTACTATTATAAAAAAGAGGTGGTGTCTGTGTGTATGGGAAAAGTAAACGCGAAAACTACTGGTCGGATCGGGCTGAAATTCGGCATGATGATAGCTCATATTCCCGATTAACATATAGGCATATTTTTATCCCAAAAATCCTTCCGGGCTCCGCCCCAGTGGCTCTGGAGCAAAGGTTCCCATGTTAACCTTATGAGAAATGGAATTAATGAATCTTAACAGCTGTTTCAATTAAACAAGTTGGTTCTGTTCTATGATTTTCAATATCATTAAAGTTACAAGGATTACCAACAGGGTGCAGCACTAGCATTATTTCTTTTACATTTATGACAACAGCTAATTTGCAACCAAAAGGTGAGTGAGCGTAGCGAACGAGCTAACCTGAAGGAAAGTGAGCGCAGCGAACGAGCTCCAACCTAAAGGTGAGTGAGCGTAGCGAACGAACTTCAAAAAGAACCGAAATTTCTTAAACCATGTCCTCACTCATAACTGCTATAAGCATTTTATACTTATATGCCAACCCCGTACGAAGGACGGGTACTCTGCTAGTTAAATTATATAGTTGATCAAAATGTAAACAATTATGTGCTTCAATCTATTATGCTATCAATTATGTTATCAAAAATGTTCAACAATTATGGTTTGCAAATCTACGCGGTACGCTCTTTCCAATGAGACATCAATGGATAAAATCTTTAGAAATGGCGGAGGAGTTCAACCGACAAAGTTTCATGTAGCGTATTAATTATATAGATTTTGTACTTTTTCCCCATTAATCCAGTGGTTACGTAGCTTTAAGTAGTTCTGTAATATTCACGGGTCTATCTATTTGTGTGAAGAAAATAATAAGAGCATAAAGAATAAATAACTCATTAATTAATACAACTTATACCTAACAGATTTTAACTGAAAATTACCGTAGTTTTTTAATTTGGGTTCTGCTACTTATTTAACCGCTAGTTTATATATATATATATATTAATATATATATATATTCTTTTGCCTTGTTTTTACGTAATTAATTCATTGTTTCGACACCTTCAGTGTGAATCAGGGAACAGGAAGCTGTGTAAAAGGTTATCTGGATTCGTGTTTTATTCCAGTATGTCTACCAACTACGTACCGGTACTATATAAGACGAACTAAATCCACCCGTATTGTTTATATCGAACTAACTCATTTAAGTAACCAAGCATGTCAACGATAGTTAACACTCATTTATCGATAATCACCTTCCTTTCCTTACTGTATTTATTACCTTCTGTTGCAGTTTAGTAACTACGTCAAATGCTCAGAAATCGTAATGTTTTAGCATAGATTAAAGGAAAAACATTACTCCTTTATTCTATGAGTTTAGTTAACGTTTAAACAATTATGTAGCTTTTCTCTTTGCTTTATTATAACACTCTGTCCTCTGGTTTCAAATCAATCAGTCGAATCCACCGATAACTTATAAAAGTCAAGTTTTGTTCCTGGGAAACGGAACCCTTACCAATGACAAAGTATTTAGAAATCAATCGATAATTATTAGTTTTTTTAACAGTATGCAGCAGTATTTGAGCATTAAACAGTATTTACTCACAAAAAATTACATGTGTTGCCTTTAGCAGATTTAAAACTCTGGAAGGATTAAATTATTGAAAACTAATAACAAAAAAAAGGCAAAAAAGATGGTTTCCACTCAAAGGATGTGGTATACAGGGATATCTATCTTGACACATTGATAAATCACATTGATAAAATAAATATTAGAATAATTTGTTTTACATTTGAAATTTTTAGGGACTTTGGTCCTTACACGCCACTAGTTCACATTTAAATCAACCCGTTATAAAGAAAGTTAATTAGCATCACTGAATCTTTGTATATTGTGAGTAAAATCTGAAAACGGAAGGGGTGCCGAGGCACGGCCACCTTTGCCAAAGCCCTAAAGAAAAATAATTACCTCTTTAGTTACATTCGTCACTCCACTAAATCATAAAATGTTCAATAACACCATCAATCATACAAATCGATTTAACTAACGGCTGAAAAAGGGACGTTACAGAGAATCCCCCTTAAGGATGTAGATATAAAAGTACAAAACAATAAAACAAACTATCAAACGTACAACGTCTGGTGTACCCCTGTATTTTTTGTGTCCCACCTTCGCATCCTAGGACGCTAGGTACTATCCCGGAACTGTTTTACACATTACTTCAGGCTAGTCCTAGAGGGTCATGGAATAAAATCCATTGGTTATCGGTAGATTTGAACCTGGGACCTTGGATTCCGAAGTCCCAAGCTCTAAAGACTAGACCAGCTCGCTCCTCGAGGCTATTTTTTTTTTGTTCAATTTGTGAAACACATTGTTGGAAGCAATTCCCGTTAGATAACTAGTTTTTTTTTATTATTGTGTTGACAGGCGTTATTCCCCGGAAGGGAAAATCTGGTGTTTGCGCCCTTCGGATTGTCGGCAAGTCTTGCGATGATCATGGAGACTCTGGATACGAAGGCGGCCGAGGAGGCGCGGAGAGTTCTAAGGATCAGACCTGAGGACAAGCAGCTGCTCAGGACAGGGTTCAGGAACATCCTGATAGAGTGTGAGGTATGTATGTAGTAAAGATAAATCTGAATTTTGTACCGTTAAAATAATTTTAAGTATGTTCAGAAGTGCCATAGTACAGACACTTAAAAAACATGAGACGTGTTCAGAACAATTAATTGCTAATTTTTAAAAATTACATTTTAGCGAATTTTCCTATAGAAAAGTAGCCATACCGTAGGTGGCACAGTAAAATACCTGGAGCCGGGACCGATATACATTTTGATTTTGATGTTCCTAGAGGACAAAAACACTATTCGTTCAAATCTATATACGTACGTGAACGCAATAACATGAGTTTGGCCGATTTTGATGAAATTTGGTTTTAAGGTGTAGTATGGGATAAACTTGAATGAGTTCGCGAACCAGAATGATCAGACCATGGGAACAGGGTTTTACGGGGGGTTTCATAGGGTTATAATTGGTTTTCTGATTTTTGACCCTCAAAACACAGAATTTTTCAATTTCTCTCTAGACTATTTCAAAGAGCTTAAAAAACAAGCAGTTTAGTATACAAAATTGTTTTTTCACGGTTATTGATTACGGACAAAATTCAAAAAATTTCAAACTAAAAATTCTTATATGATTCTTATGGAGAATATTGTAGAATGTTGTAGTTGGCTTGTTTGTATAAATAATTTGATCAAACTTGGGAAATTTATTTATTTTATACTAAACTACTAATATTTAAAAAAAAAACACTTATTAGCCTCCCTGTAGCAGCAAACATAAGTACTCGTTAAACTGAAATTAAATTTAATTTAATTTGAAATCTATTCAGGCAAATGGAAATTCACTCAGTCTGCAGGTTTGCTGTGGCGGGGATATTATTGCTAACGTTAATCCGTTTAGACATTGTGCTTAGGTATTAAGTAATTCAAAACCAATTTAAAAAAATGTATCTCAGGAGAAAATTGCATTTAAATTTCAAACCCCACAACCTTGTTTTAGAAAATATATATGACATCGTTACGTTACAAGGGGCAGGGGGTTTTAAGCTTGCGTTATGAAGCGTTACAAGAGAATAGAATGGGAATGGGGACTTTTAAATTGACGATAAAAGCGTTAAGTATTGTGTGTCGGCCCCTTATATTAAATTCGTGCTCTTTGTTTTATTTCGTATGAAATATACTGAGGATAAGGCCATTGATTATTTATCTTCCAATCCAAGATTTTATATGTTGTTGGCTTTATAGAGCGGAGTTAAAGGCGGCCGTGATAGAGCCAACAAAGAAGAACCAAACTAATTTCCTTTGAATAAGGCTAGTGGTAAAAGTGTATGACTCAAATTCCCACTCTCTAGAGCCATACATCTTCCAGGCTAGTTACTAAATATGTCCAGTTACCAAATTGTTAGTATCAAAATACAAATTATGGGGAAAATAAACTTAATATGAAAAATGTATAGTTACTATTCGAACAACAGAGGGTATGACGTTTCAACTTTCGCTGTTGGCAATCCTGAGGAGAGTGACTGAGAACAGTGGACTGAACGTACGGGCGAAAACGAAAACATATGTTTTATCGTCTGTCCCAGTTTCTTCTTTCTTCTGCTGTTTCTGATTCTAGGTTTCTCTCTCTCTCTCTGGCCGATGTCAAAACATAAGCCTCTTGAACATTCTTGCCTATTTTGGAGTTTCAGATAAAGAATGGTGCCAAGTTTCAAAATAGTTTGTTGTAGAGAGTTCTGGACTCGCACTTTATAAGTTTACGGTGGAGTTTCTCAGAATTAGTTTATTAAAGGTGCGGTTAGTGTTTGGAAGAGTTGCTGTGTAAAATAAGGTTACATTTACTTATATATAGGCTACATTGCAATCGTCGAGATGACTAAGGAGAGCAACAGTGAAGATCCTTTGAAATTGAAAGAAGAAGGCAACGCTTCTTTTAAGGAAGGTAATTTAGCACATGCTCTAAGTTGTTACTCCAAAGCAATCAAGTTATCAAAAGATGAAACCCCTGAAAAAGCTATTCTATTTAAAAATAGGGCAGCTGTGTATCTTAAGCAGGAAGATTTTGCGAAAGCGCTTAAAGATTGTGATAAGTCACTTGAGATAGTTCCAAACGACCCTAAGACTCTCTTTCGTAGGTGCCAGGCATTAGAGAACCTTAACCGACCAGAAGAAGCGTATCGGGATGCCAGACAAGTTCATACAGTTGACCCAACAAACAAAGCAATTCAACCTGTGCTTGCTCGACTTCATGAAATTGTCCAAGAAAAATTACGAATCAATGCTCAGACAAATAATAAAATAGCCTCCATGTTCGAGATAGCATTTGACTTTCAACAGACTAAAGACAAGCGAGAATCTGCAATGAATAACATCTTAGTATTGTCCCGAGACTCTGCAGGGTCATCAGCTCTTGTTGATGCTGGTGTTATTCAAAAGATAGGAAGCCTTCTCAAAGTGGAAAAGAACAATGACATTTTCCTCAGTGGTGTCAGAATTGTAGGCGAGCTTTGTAGAGGATCATTACAAAGGACCAAGAAAGTTTTAGTTGAGTTAGGAATACCTTGGTTTCTCGATATATTAAATTGCTCCAAAGAGGAACAAGTAAATGCATCTCAGTATTGTTTGCAGACTATTTTAAACTCTCTAAGTGGACTAGACAACAAACCAGATTCAAAACCAGACCAACAGTTGTGTGAAGAAAATAAGAAAGAGATTGATACATTGTTGACATGTCTGATATACGCTACAACAAGTAGAACAATGACGGGATTAGGTAGGGATGCTATCATACAACTAATTATGCGCAATGTTCATTACAAAGGCATCGACTGGGCTGAAACATTGATTGAAATTAAAGGTCTCCAAAGGTTGTTGGAAGTAGGAAGTGAACTTCAGGAATACAAGTATGAATCAGCAATGGAAATAACAGAATCCACCCGTACCATTACAGCAGTTTGCTTAGCACGGATATACGAAAACATGTACTATGACAAGGCACGTGAAAGATATCTTGAAGCTGTCAATGACTACATTAAAAGTAAACTTATCACTCCTGAAATTGAATCAAAGGTTAGAGTTGTTGTTGCTTTAACTTGCTTATTACTTGGACCATTAGATATTGGCAATACTATTGTGGCTAGAGATGGAATGCTTGAAATGATACTGGTTATGGCCAATTCTGAGGAAAAGCTTCAACAAAAAGTAGCTTGTGAATGTATAATTGCTGCTGCATCAAAAAAAGATAAGATAAAAACAATTATTTCTCAGGGTGCAGATATTCTCAAGAAACTGTATCAGTCCAAAGACGACTCAATTCGTGTGAGGGCTTTGGTGGGTTTATGTAAGCTGGGAAGTATGGGAGGTACAGATGCGTCAATAAGGCCATTTGCAGATGGTTCAACAACAAAACTTGCCGAAGCTTGTAGACGATTCTTGATAAGCCCTTCCAAAGATGCTGACATGCGTAGATGGGCAATTGAAGGTTTATCGTATCTCACATTAGATGCGGATGTCAAAGAAAAGCTCATCGATGACAAAAAAGCCCTTCATGCCATGGTAGAGTTGGCAAAATCAGGAAATCAAGCTTGTGTGTATCCTACAGTCACTACATTGGTGAATCTGTGTAACGCATATGAGAAACAAGAAGTTATTCCTGAAATGATTGAATTAGCAAAGTTTGCAAAACATCACATTCCAGAAGATCATGAACTGGATGATCCTGACTTTGTTTCAAAGCGTTGTGCGGTTTTGGCTAAGGAAGGAATAATAAGTGCCCTTGTAGTTCTGTCCAAAACAGAAAGTGATAATAGCAAAGAACTTATTTGTCGTGTATTTAATGCAATATGTGCAGAAAGAGACCTTCGAGGTATAGTTGTTCAGCAAGGAGGCGCAAAAGTGCTTTTTTCAATGGCACTTGAAGGAACCGATAAAGGCAAGAAAAATGCAGCCCAAGCTTTAGCGAGGATTGGTATCACCATCAATCCTGAGGTCGCTTTCCCTGGTCAAAGATGTGTTGAAATAATTCGCCCTCTTGTGATGCTTCTTCATCCTGAATGTACTGCCCTTGAGAGTTTTGAGTCTCTCATGGCTTTATGTAATTTAGCCGGAGTAAGTGAAACTGTACGGAAAAGAATAATCAAAGAAGGAGGTGTAACGAGGATAGAAGGCTACATGTTTGAAGAACATCTCATGTTGAGAAGAGCAGCGACACAATGTATGACTAACCTGATGTTGTCTCCAGACATTATAAAGATGTATGAAGGCAAAAATGACAGGGCCAAATTTTTGCTGTTACTCTGCGGAGAGGAAGACGAAGACACAGCCGAAGCTGCTGCGGGTGCTTTGGCCATGTTGACATCTGTGAGTAAAAAGTGTTGTAAGAAACTGTTTGAAGTTGGTTCGTGGCTAGAAAACTTTCAGGAACTTCTTGCAAACCCCAAATTTGAAATGCAGCATCGAGGTATCGTCATAATGTTGAATATCATAAAGTCTTCTAAAGAATTGGCTGAAAAAGTGATGTCAACAAACTTAATGGAACTTTTGATGGCCTTATCTATCATAAATGAAGAGGGAAAAGAGAAAATTAAATCCATTGCTGAAGAATGTCTCAAAGCAGCAGAAGAATGGAAAATTATCAAAAAGCCTGGGGAAGAGGAAGAAGTTTTATCTGAGGAGGAGGATTAAGTTCTAAAAATCTGCACACCAGTTCAAGATGTAAGTAGCCTAGATCTTCTTAATGGTCTAAATATTGTAGGCTATAAGTCTGACTAAAATCGCCAGATAAATACCACCAACCATGATGACAAAGTGTGTAAATTGAAAATAAAGTTAGGTTTGCTGTAAAATTTCTTTGTGAAGTGTAACAGTATACCTATTTGTCACTCCTAACAGTAGGCTACATAAATTTCATTCATCATGTAATCGCATATGAGACATGCATTTTTATGATTCAGGCTAGGCTAATCAAAATTTGAACAAAGGCTATTATGTAATTCAGAATAATAAATGATACAACTTACTGAACTTGTTGAGCATGTTCTAAATCACAATCAGATCTGTGTAATTATTTTTTCCAAATTATTATAATTCAATCGGCTGATTCAGATTAGGCCTAAGTAACCCTAAAAAGCCAAAGGTTCTTTGTTTGAAGTTTATTACTGTTATAGGCCTAGTGAACTATAGTCTGTGATGGAACCTGTCTCCTGGTTCTCATAAACCCCTAACCGGGCTTAAACCATTGGTCAGTCCCCAGGTAGACGGAGTCAGGAGACAGGTTCCATCAAACAGACTATAGGTTACGGGTAGCGTAATGAAAAAAATTAACTGAAAGGTCTGTATCAGCTTTTTTATATAGGTTTTTGGTTTTGTTCTCTTTGACAAGCCATAGGTTGCTATACAAAAATTGGTCAGTTAAAAGTAATTGGGCCAATCTGGAATATGGGTAGCCTAATAGTATCGTACCTATATCAAAATGAAACATTGCAGTGACCAATGCATCATTTATAAACAATTTTGTGTTTCCATGACAGAGGGCATTGCAAGAAGAAGAAGCTGCAGGTACCTACAACAAAATTACAATGCTCACAGCACATGACCTTTCTAGCCAGTATTTCGACGTATTAACAGATTCTTACCGGGCAAATGTTTCAGTGAGCACAACACCATTAAATACAACAGGTTAGTGAAAATATTCTAGCAGAACTATAAAGTACTACCATAGTGTTCACCTCGGAATCGAAATCATTGTTTCCATACTTAGGAGTTTTTCCCGAAAACGGGATTAGGATTAAAACAGGATATGGTATGAAATGGGATTTTAGGCTCTGACCTCTGGTTTTCTTTTTTTCACTGCTTATTAGATCAAATACAATCCCAATTAATTTGATTACTATCCCATGTTATTATAGCAAGGATTAAAGAGCTATTTATAAATGAAACGTCAATAACAATATTGGGCAATTTTTTTACAAAATTCATTTGGAATGAAACAGGTTTTTTTTAATGAAATTTAACAGGATTTTTTGATGTGGTAATTGGGATGTTGGTTAGGGCCTGATTTTAAGGTTGCTGTTTCGATCTTGAACGGGAGTCGATTCAGGACCAATATGGTATATGTCATTGGACTATCGATTAATGATACTAATAAAAGGTTAACAATAGCCTAGATAAAACCAGGGTTTAACTGTTATCCTGAAAAAAAAACTAAAATTTTCAGAAGCTTTAATTACAAAACCCCAGGAAAATGAAGATGATTTTTACTTGGTATTCTGTTTGAAAATGAACTGATACATTTAAAACCATAGAAGCTTAACCAAAAAAACATGCCTCAGTAGGACAGGTATTTTCAAGTGCTGTTTGTGACAGAGCGGGTGTTGTCGCTTCAGAGTGACTCAGGCGTGATGAGCCATTGGAAGGACTACCAACGTCTCGCTGTCTACACGTACTTGAGCCATGAGGCAGCTGCGCCGTTCACTCTCTTGTCCGGCGCAACAGTGCAGGTTCCAATGGTTCCTCAGGTCGGCGTGTTCCGGCGAGGTAGACTGAACCGACTGAATTGCCTGGCTGTTCAACTTCCGCTCGAGGTAGCATTTGTAAACTTGTTATCTAAAGCTGTTTACAGCGTAAAGCAGTTGTGAGCATAAACGTAGCTGGTAGCTGAGTGAATGTAGTACTTGCCTTTAATCAGGTCGTCAATTCTAACTGTATAATTTGTCATACAGTACCTACAGTGGTTATAGTTCATAACTGTGCACATTTGAAGGGTGCAGCATGGATTGGTGACTTTATTTCCTAGTGGGATTTTTATCCGAGATATTTTGCTATAAAACCTACACAAATCATTTATCCACCCTTCCTTTTTGACAGTATTGAGACAACTAAATGTAAACTGTCAGTCTAGTTTAGTGACACAGTAGTACATACCTTACACAGTTCTTTGCTAGTAGCTACCATTCGTTCGTGTTTCTTTGTTTGCTTTGCCATAATTGTTACAAAGTTGAGTCCAGAAATGAAAGCAATTTTTATTATTGCTAGTTTTGCATGGTGCATGATGATTGCAACTAAATTTTCACCAAACCCTGTTAAAATTTACTGGGATTTCGGATCTGAGGGTTTCTTCTGTACCTATAGGCTATGGTACTTAAATGAACTTATTTTTTGCAATTTTAGTCAGATCAACACAATATAACAATATATATGTCTATAGAATATCTAAATGAACCAAAACTCTATCTTTTAGTCTCGCAGAGTCCACCTGATCCTACTGCTGCCTGACGCAGACGACGGTATAGACCAAGTGCTGAAGTCTCTGGCCAAGGAGAAACTTCTCCAGATGATAAAGGCTCTACCGCAGCAAGAGACAGAGGTGACTCTGCCTCAGTTGGCAATCCTGACCAGCGATCTTGACCTCGGCCCATTCATTCGCCAGCTGGGTGTGAGGCAGCTGTTCACAGACCCCCATGTCAACGTCCGCTCTATCAAACAGAACGCATACTTCTCCACGTCCTTTGTCGCCGTGAACTCCGTTGGGTCTATTTCCACTGAGTTAGGTAAGTTACAAAAGTTTTTTTAAATTACTTTTGTGATGTGATATGTATGAACATTACTAACTAAAACTTCTTGTACTTTCATAAAGTACTGTTAGTAGTGGGGGCGTGGGATTCTATCCAGAAGGCTGAGGTCATAAGCACTTGTTTATTTTTAATATTTATTTTTTCAGATATAAGGTCATCGGGAAGGTTTAAGCGAGATACAAACAAGGTGGTTTTCAATCGTCCGTTCCTGTTTTTCCTTGTCCATTCTGCGTCGGATGCCATTCTGCTAGCAGGAGTTGTGCAGAATCCAACTCAAGTTCCTGTTCCAACGCATCAAGCTGCTAGCTAATGTTGCATGTTGTTGAATGACAATCAGTTGATTTTGTGTGATCAAAATTGATTTTTTTTAAACTTTCAATAAATTAAAATTTCCTTTTACAACTCAGTTTTCTGTGAGCATTTTATTCTTGACTTGGTATGTGACCAGACATAATTTATTGATGACATTTTTAACGTCAATGTGTACAATAATGACTGGATAAACACATTTCTTCCTTTACTAAAACGCAATCAATATTGCTAAATCGACTTATTTGTAATCTATTGATCTGGTGTGCTTTAAATGAATTATTTATCTTTTATCGATTGCCTTGTTAAAAATTATCTGGTGTGCTTATTTTGTTTAAGTAACGATACACATTTTAAAAGTATTATTTGTTTTATATTTATTTAAAAATTAACTAAAAGTGTTTGTTAAAATAAGTAGTTTATGTTATGAATCGCAAGTTTGTAAAATAAACTACTTTATTAAAGATTTTATTTTAAGTATTGTAAATATTTAAAAAACGTAATTGAATATTTTTTTGTACCTAATAGGAGTGTGGATATTGTCAAAACAATTTTTGTACATACAGTATTGTGTTTGCCATATTATTATAATATACTAACAATATAAAAACCTGTTGAAATGTGTTGCACTTTATTTGTCTCGTGAATCCTATAAAACCAAAACTTGATTTTATAGTTAATACGGATCCATTTCATTAAGTCAAATTCCTATTAGTTGAAATAACTTATATTGTGACATTAGATCAAAAATAATATATTCGCTGTTTCTTTAGGTCAAAAGTCCCATTCGATCAAAAGTAGTCAGTTACTAAAAACGTAGTCTGTGTAGCATGATCTAATGGGATATTGACTTAATAAACAGCTCCTACATATGACAAAGATTATTGAGCGGAGCGAGCAAAGCTCTTATACGTTGACTCTTATGCATTTCGTAATACACAAACTCCTCCTAGACGGCTGAAGCAATCTTTTTCAAATTTTGCATGGCGATAAAGACCATATTGGTGAGTGCTAACATCTATAAATTTAAAAAATTCTCAAAGGAATCTGCCCCACAGGCTCTCAAAATTTCAATGTAATCCTCATGGAAGCAGTATTTGACACAAAAACAAAGGCATAAGATCAGCTGTCGACTTAAAGGAACGATTGTAACAAACTGTTATCAGGGTAAATTAGTTGATTAGTAAGTGTTCCATTAGTTTTATCTTGCAAACTAAACATTGTTATGGCTGTAGACAAAAAAGTCAGTATAGTTTGCAAATACAATGGAATCAACCTATGGCGACAGCAGTGTTCTCGTATTCACTGATTTTGCTGCTTCTAATATTAATGGCCAAACATTTCACTCAGCACTAAGATTGAATATACAATATTTTAATTAACTACAGGGGGAAATGAATTAAATTAAATTTTCAGATTTTGTTTCAAAACGTCCGTGTCGTTGTTTGCGATGAAATAGCTATGTGTTGGCAGAGTATACAGCAATGATAAAAACGCTTACCCTACGTCAAATGAAACCTGACAACCAAGATTAGGCCTAAGTATTTGGAGATCTTATTGTATATCCGTGTGGTGATATGGTCTCAGCTACTACCGGTGCAGGATCAAACTTTATTCACGCCATCTTATACTTCAAAATTCAAATCAGTGGTATACATATGGCAAAGATCAGTAATTTTCGTATTGTCCGACTAATATAGAACGTTAAAGTAGGAAGATATTCTTTTCTTTACGATTCATACATAATGCCAACAAAATCGTATCATGGAAATAAAAGAAGAGGTGCTAACATGGCTACTGCCACCCTTAATGAATTTACTAAGCTGCATTGTTCTGTAGCATTCATTCGTGTCATCACAAACAAACCTTCAATAGACGCAATATTGAGTTCCGATGAATGCTGATATTTAGAAAACATCGTCAGATTAGCCAAAGGATGTAGTCATGTAACGCCAAAACCTTTGGACTGATGCAGGATTTGTCTATGGTACTGTTGGCACCGTCCACACTATTTTATACGAATGTGGATAAGTCTTATCACATTTGAAAATGCAGATTTTACGTCTATTAGTTGAATTTAGTAATTATAGAGGCCCACATTATTCAATAATGTGGTACCCATTGTCCCTATAACTGTAGCTAAATTTGTTAACGTGGCATTGTGTGTACCTGAAAACCATTTTTAATGACACCTGTCTTTCACAAGTTCCAAGGCATGACCCTGAACCAAGCAGTTGTTGATATTGGACTAAGAGAGCTCAGTGTTGGGATGATGTATGTTGCAGTGAGCCCATCCGAACAATGTATGGACACTGCTTTTCAACCCAGGATTTTCAAAAGAATGTCTGAAAAAAAAACTAGTCGAAGATGAACATTTGGCATCACTGTTATAACGATTTTAGAATTTTAGTTTGAAATGTTCATATTCGTTGAAATTAATTGACCAATCAATAAAAGTTATCTTTACACAATCTTTTGTCTATTTGACATTGTAGGCAAAAATAATTTTGAAGCTTTATGGTGAGGGTCAATGGCATTATAATGCCCTGATGGCTCCGCTCAATTTTGTGGACACGTCTGCAAACACCACCTAGTTTTATTTAACGATCTATTTTGCTGTCCCATTAAGTCAAAATCCTATTATATCAAAAGTAGAGTCTGTTCAAAACAATGTAGTCCTCCAAAAGCATGCTTTCAATTATATCTTGTTATGGCATAATTAGGATGATGCTTAAATTTTAGAAATCGGCACAGAGCTTCTTGGTTTGTGCTACTTGCTTTGCTGTTAGGTTGGAATCAAAAGTAATTTATTAACTTCATCAGTACAAATTTATAAGTAGGCCTATGGTAAAAGTAGTTTAAATTTACTACATAAATAATTAAAGTTTTGGTAAGTGGGTTTGTTTTAACCAATTTTTAAAATTTATAACGATTCATATTTTTTATGGGTGCAATTAAGCTATTTCACAGCAACAATATCTATGCAAGTCGTATTTCAATAAATTTGACTTCAGTTATATTAGGACACAAGTAGCTGCGCTCATGCTTTGGAAAAGCTTAAAAAAGTAGAATATATTATAATAATGATCAGTAGGTTAACAAATATGGCAAATTAGTATTATCTGTTGACAAAAGGTGGACCTGGAAACAGTCAAAAAAATACCGAGCAAAGAGTTATCGCCAATTTAATTAATTAAATGAGTTATATTCATGCTTGACAAAACATTTGCCCACCACAGTAACAGCCTCTTTAGTAGAGGGAACATGGAAAACAAATAGGATAATTGAAATGAGCACAATAGACAAATAACTTTATATGTAAAATCAATGCATCCAAATTTCTTACAAAAAATTTAACAGTTGGTAAAAATTATAACAAAATGTTTATGATCATGATTATTTATTCAGACGTTCTTGTGACAGTAACCAATAGGAGTAATAACTGCTAACTTAGTCTTCGAGGAAGAAATATTGGCCTGCACGTTTTTGTTCAACATCCTGCAACAAAGAAAATTGGTTTGTAAATGAAACAGTAAAAATTAAATATTAAGTTAACAGTTAGTTTGTTTGTTACATTTTTGGTACAGATTTCATTAGGCGAAGGGGTTTACGATTACGATTTAGTATTATGTATCGGTTTAACAGCAGGCTTGTAACCTTACTGACCAAAATAGATAAAAATACACAAGTAACAATAAACACAGAATTTTTGGAGCTACTAACTCCTTCAGTAGTAGAGTTTTGTTCTTGTTAAGTTGTTTTGGTTTTGGGGCCCTTTTATTTATAACAATATTTTCATACTGAATTAGACATCTCATCTGCTGTAGCCAATTTTTGTCCAAATACAAAACATTGCTACCATCTAAAATTATATTTCCCACATTAAGAGTAAGGATAACCATTTTTTGGAACCACTACTTCCATTTTCAGTTATAGTCAAATAGTCAAGACCTAAGAAAGCACTTGTACTCGGTAGGAAAATAACGCTTTTTAAAGAACATTAATACTACCTCCAATTTGCCAACTATCTACGATTAAAGTTAGTTGAGTGGTCAAGTGTAAGAAAAACCTATCGTTTGTTTCAAGAATCGTGAAGTGTTTTCCCCTATTCTCTAAAGTGACTTCTTAGGGCTGTCTAAATATAGACTCTCTCTACTATAGAAAAAGAAGCTGGTAAAAAATAGTTACTACATTTCATGATAATTTGTGAACCAAATAATATCAAGTGTAGATATTATTTTCAAATTTAAAATAAAACAAACCTTGACAGACTGAGCCTTGTTGATGCGAGGTCGGAAGTTGTTAGGGTCTCGCCGGAATGTGATTCCGAGCAGTTCCAAGAAGCGGTTCATCCCAGCCAGCAGTGACTGTGGAGTGTTAGCTGTCGTGTCCACACTCGGAATACCCTCAAACACAATTACTCGGTCCGCCAAGTAGGTTGCCATGATGAAGTCGTGTTCCACCACAAAACCGGTCTTCTTAGCGTGCAGAATGAAACTGGAACCATCATTAGGCTATGTTATATCTGTCCCATTGATTCTATTTTGATTTTATTTGGTACTAGCTGTAACCCGCGGGCTTTGCCCCGTTTAACTTCTTAATTTTCAAGATTATCTCGTTCGCATGGCTCAATCACGTCCTGGTTGAAGTTTGTTCGCTACGCTCACTCACCTTTAGGTTGGAGCTCGTTCGCTACGCTCACGAGCTTATATTTTAATATTTAACATTGGAGAATTTAAACGTTGATGAGTGCACAGGTGTGCTGTGATTGGGGTTTAATACATTTGGACTTATTAAAAAGTAAAATAGTTTTCTGTACTGCACTCTTTAGAAACACTGTGGCACTATTACAAATCATGACTAATACTAATACAGAATGTTGTGATTATTCAAAACGACAAAACAGTTGGTGAAAGAAAAACATCTGCTTTTAAATTATATTTATTTGTAAACATTGTAGATCAAAAAGTCTGACATTGGCCCACTTAAAACCCTCTGGGGCAGAGCCCTTTTGACAGATCATCACCAAACTTCACTCGAACCATCCTTGAAAGATGCTTAACAATGCCTGAAAGTTTCATTACAATCTGTCGAGCAGTTTCGGAGTCCATAACGTATATACACACACACATACATACATACATACATAGTTCCTCTTTTATAGATATAGATTTAATAAATCAGGTGGAAACATTAACAAATATCATTTACCTACCTACAATTGTTTTCAAACTAGCCTTTTCAATTCAGTTCTTGGACTTTAAAAGATTCACTTTAAAGTATTGTTTACTTACTTTACAGTAGACTGTTGTTTTGTTGCTTTACAGTGCAAGGTTGGACCAATGAGGTTCAAGAATTGAGACAAAAGAAGTAAAACTCTAATACTTGGAACGTCATTTTATCAGCTGTTAAGAAGACCAATTTACTTGATTACAAGAGTGAGTGGTTGGGACAAAGATTTGTTGCATCACAATCAGTGCATTGAGAGGTTATTAACAAAAACATAAATCTCTTAGAAGTCATGAGTAGTGATAAAAAAACGGCGGTAAGTAAAATAGTGTACTTAACTCTAAATAAATAAAAATGTTTTATTAAGAGTTTCTCTGGTACACCAGCTTTTCAGAACAACTTTCGTCACTATGCACTCTACTATTTGGCCGTTATACACTTATGGAAATAGAAATTGCACAATAAACAACTCACAACTAATATTTAACGTAGTTACACTAAAAGTTGATTGAGCTTGTTTAGCTAATAGCTGAGACACTTGTGACAAAAAAAATTAAATTTACTGAGTTTATATAATATAGTGTTACAAAACATGAACATTGGGAAAAGAAAATGCATGGAATCTAGCTTACTATGAAAAATCACTGTTGTGAGTATAATAACAATAGTGGTAAAATAAGAAACAAATAATTTTATTCCTAAAGTCAAATCTAAACAGCACCCAAACTTTAAGGCCGTTCTCTTTAGTTAGGCAAGAAAATTAATATAGATTTTTTATTTTTGTATGACTGTTTCTAGTCATTTTGTTCTAAACTGTATAGATGATATAGAAGGTGGGCTTTTTTTCAAACACCATCCACGATGTTTAATAATCTTACATCCCTTTCAATTCAACGTGTTTGTACATACTCTAACAAAACTAACACAAACTATTGCTGGTTTATTGTTTTAAGACAGAAAGGCTTGCTCACTTACCGTTTGATGACTTTGGCAGCAACAAGACGCTGTTCAGAGTCGAGGTAGGCGGAAGGTTCATCTATGAGGTAGACATCAGCAGGTTTGCCGAGACATAACGCCATCGCGACTCTCTGCAACTCTCCTCCGGACAAGTTCTGCACCTCCTGGTCTATGATATCATCTATCTTGAGTGGCTTCATCACGTCAGTTACAAACTAAAACAGAACAGAACACATTGTAGGATTGAAGGGTGTAACATAGAGCACAAGGGCCTAGGGTTTTAGGCTTTTTTAGAGGATAGCAGGTTTACCTGCATGGGAAGGAGTCCAAACTGGCACAGGAAACACAAAACTTTACACTAAAAGAGAGTTTTCTTTATGGGACAGTAAACTCTCTCTTTCTTAGTTGAAAATTCTGTCAGTGACAGTGAAATATTCTAATGTTTTGTGTAAGTGTAAAGTTTTGTGTTTCCTGTGCCAGTTTGGACTCTTTCCCATTCAGGTAAGCATGCACTCCTCTCAAAAAATCCTAAAAACATTGTAGTAGTGATTTTAGATATTTAATAATTATTTTCTCCTTCAGTAAACCAATATGTAAAATGCATAATCTGTAAATTTGTAGAAAAAAAATTAGTCGTCTTGACAGCTCCTTGGCTTTGCCAATTGAATACTACTTGGCCAAAGAAATATAATGGAGCAGACAATAATACGGATATCAAACTATTGAGATAAAGTTCAGAAAACAAAAGGCCAATAAAAATAGATTTTGGGTACACATAATGTACTCTTAACCAACTCTTTAATGTACTCTGTAATACTCTTTGTACCAAAATAGACTTAAAATTCCAACTATTGATGTAAAATTAAAATTAGGTTATCCGAATTTTACTCACACCCTTTATTTCAGCTAATTGAGGATGCTGTGTGTGTTACTGTAAGTTGTGAACCTTAGAAATAAATGGTGGTTACTAAATTCTACTTGGCCTTGATAAACAAGGCAGCAAGAGTGAACAGATTATGAATTAAGAAACCGTAACGCAAGTAAAAAAATATATAGGTAGCCTATTTATAATTAATTTATTCCTACAATTAACAATTACATTTACAAATAATTTTACAACACTAATAGTTAGATGAGAGCTTAGCAAACCTGCGGATGAATGTAAGCGTCTCTAATCTTCTCGTGCAGCAATTGACGGACCAGCCCCTGAGATTTGGGACTGATCTTCTGAGGTTTGTAACTGATGTTCAAACGAGGTAACTCACCTGTAAATACATACAACGGTTAAATGAAACTTGGCCTACACTGCAACATCGAACAATCCATTGTCACACAACCTTATATATATAAACAAATATTTTGCAGAGAAAAAGGTTCTTACTCAAAAATTAAAAATTAAATACAGAGTTTAAAATTCTTTACAATGAGATGCATATTTTTAGTGACTTGATAATGGTCAACAAACGGTCTTAGGCCAGGTACAGGCGCAATCAAGGTGCCACATCGCACACATTGCACAATGTGTCCTAGACTCTTATTGAATGACTCTCAAATTCCCCAGGTTTTTCCTGGTTCAAAAAATCAATTTCAAGTTCTTCTGGTTTTCCGGGTTGAGGGCACCCTGACCGTTGGTATGTGTTTAAATTTTAAGTAAAACATAAGAAGTCTCACCTGAGCCATCATCAGGAGCCAGATTTCCGGCTAACATTCTGATGAAGGTTGTTTTCCCTGTTCCGTTCTCTCCCAGAAGCACAAGGATCTCACTATCAGTAAACTGGCCCTGGTGAACGGTCAGCTTGAAGTCTCCCATTGTCTTCACCATGGCGGGATACTCGTAATGGTTCATCCGCTTCACCTCTTCTTCCGTGGCACTCTCGGCCACCTTAAAGACCAGTGATTCGTCTCGGAACCGCAGGTTCTCCGTGGGTACGAACCCATCCAAGAATATGTTAATTCCTTGAAAAAAGTGAACACGTTGCTATTAACACTTTTAAAGAATACAATGTAGTAACATTTGGAGACACAAAGTTGTCTAAATGTTCTAAGAACCCCAGGTTTTCTATGTGTACAAATCCACCCAAGAATATGTTGGTTTCTTGATAAAGTATGTTTTTAATACTTTAGAAGAATATAAAAATCAAGTTTAGCCTATATTTAAACATTCAAAAGTTGAGGCGAAGATCAAAACAGTTACAACAAGTATCTACCAGTTCTTTAAAAAAAAGCATATGTAGATTTAAGAAACCTTTTGTTACAACAATTTTTGTTATAAGTCTAGAGGATCATATCTCGTTAGGTAGTAAAATTCCTTGAATTAAAAAAAAACTCTAAGCAGTTTATCAGAAGTAAGTTATTAGAGAAAATAATTTGCATCAATTTTTAAATTTAAATTTTGTGACCCTTATAACGATAAAAACTTCGTTAGATCAAAATCATTGACTTTCTAGTAACTTCTGAATAGTCACCCTTATTGGTATAAACAGAAATGCTAGTGACTGCTGAAACTTAGGCCTACCTGGACAGCATTAAATTGCAAAATTGGTTATCTCAAGTCCAGTGGATCGACATCACTACAACATTATTAATAGTAAGCCATCATAATTAAAATTATATACCAACACTATATTGAACAGTAATGGTAAGCTTACCTTCCCTGACGGAGAACGGCATAGTGACGACACCGTAAGCACCCGGAACTCCATACAAGCAACAGATGAAGTCGGACAAGTAGTCCAAAACCGACAAGTCGTGCTCCACTACTATGATAAATCTGTAAACCAACAAAGACGTTAAGTTTATAATCAAATTGAACTGCTTAAATAGTCAGTCGTTAGTTTGTGTAAGTAATTTAGACTAAATAGCTAGATGTACCTTTTTCACAGATGAGATTCTCCACTTTAACACCTAGATTGATGCTAACTTAGAAAAAAGTTTTTCATTCAAAGGAAATACATATTTGTTCTATTACATACTTCAGTAGTAGGGATGAGTATCGATAGTTGATGTTTTTCTATGTTTTTTACATCAATGGTAGGTTACTGATGTTTTCGTCAAACATCAATGGTATTGAGGTATCGACGTTTTCCATTACTGGAGGGAGAGTACAGAGAGCAGACAAAAAAATGGAAAAACATTGATGTTTTCGCAATAATGTTATCGGTACATCGATGGTTGACGTGGTTGTTACCATCGATGGTTGACCTATCGATGGTCATCCCTATTCAGTAGGCCTAAATTAAGCTAAGTGCTTTAAATGTTTTTCTTACATAAGTGGAAGAAATAGAGTGTGCCTATGTAGGAAACTAAACGAGCTTCCGGCTACAAGTTTCTTTTTTTACATTTAATCATAAAATTAGCATTTTAACAGTGTTTTAGGCATGTTGAGACCCTAAAACAAAAAAAAATACAGTGAACACAGATCTAGGTCTTATTGCAATATCAGCATCACACAAAATAATTCATTTCAGTTTAGGTTCATTCATACTACTTTTAGGGGTGGTAGGTTTCAAGTGGGAAGTACCGGTATAGTCGACTTTGGTATCATTTTACAGGTCTTGATGAAACTACACAATAGACATAAAGAAAATAAAAATCGAAACATTAAATAACACAAAATTAGTGGTCCACTAACAATATTTTATTGTAACATGCTAGAAATATACTGACTTGTCTGCCCGAATGAGGGAACGTATTGTGATGGCAGCTTTGAGTCGTTGTTTAACGTCCAGGTAGGACGACGGCTCGTCAAACATGAATATGTCTGCATCTTGGATGCACACCATAGCACAGGCAAACCTCTGCAACTCCCCTCCGGACAGGTCTTCTATCGATCTGTCTCGGATTTTTGACAGATCTGCAAGAAAAATGCCACATTAATTAATATTGTGAGGGGAGAGGAGAGTACTGAAGAGTTCAGTCAGTTCAGTGGTACAAGCGTCTACAGCCTGACTGATCACTTATTGCAAACAGAAAAAACTGGCCACTGAAAAAGAAGAACTAGTTTTCTTGATGACGTATGTAATCTATCCTCTGTTTTGTTTTGCTCTCTCCCACTTCACTAGCTGTTTGGTTAGCTTAGCTTTCTCTAAAACTGATGGATTTTATATTTACAGATAGAAATAAAATTTGCATAAACCCTGTAATAAGTTGGGTACCTACCCGTTTATTTTATTCAGTGCTAATCGTTTCTTATATTTCAAAGTCAATTTGGATGTGTTTTCTTTTTTTTTTTTTATTGCTTCCATAAATCAGACACTTTCAGGGCCTATTGCTTAGACAACATCAATCTCTATCAGGAATCACAAATAAATCAAATGCGACGGATAACAGTTAGGCTATGTTTAATTTTTAGCTTATAATTTAAGTTTTAAGTCAGTTCTGTTCTAGAATGGTGTGTGTTTTAGTCAATTTTTTAGAATCGAGGTTATTGGTAATCCCTCTCTTTATGCTATGATATAGCAGATGCCAGGCCGCAGTCATCAACAAGGAGGTTCTTTTTCAGTATCCAGTTTTTTTCCGTTTGCATTGTTTGCAATAAGTGATCAGTCTGCTGTAGACGCTTGTGTTCAGAGGTAGCCATTGTTATTGTTTGTTATTTACATCTGTTCAACATATGTTGTGTACTCAAATGATAAAAGTTTTGCAGTACACACAAAAGAATACTTACAGTAGTTAGAACCTCTCCAAATATGATAATCACAAGATCACGTATTTGACTCCTTAGGTTCGGATAAATATCCTACTATAATATTATAAATGAGAAAGTTTGGATGTATGGATGTATGTTTGTGACAAGTAAACGCGAAAAATACTGGTCGGATCGGGCTGAAATTTGGTGTGATGAAAGTTCACATTCCCGATTAACATTTCGACGCATTCTTATCTCAAAAGTCCTTTCGGGCTCCGCCCCAGTGGCTCTGGAGTTTCCCATGTTAACCTTATGAGTAATCATATTTCAAAGGAATAAAAGAATTTTGTCAGCTATTTCAACTACACAAGTTGGTTCTATGATATTAAATAGCATTAAAAAGTTATAAGGTTTACCAACAGGGTGCAGTACCTACTATTAACTTTTTTGCATTTTGTGTCCTCTTCCCGTTGCAAAGCACGGGTACAACAGCTAGTTTTTACATATAGGAAGACACACTGTTAAATCTTGACTAATGTTTTTTTTTATTTATTAGTAGAGATATTTTCTTGATTTAGCTTGAATAGATACATTTTTATGATTTAATGGAACGATTTTGATGATACAGCGTGATCTTGGTAAAGTTAAGGTCACATTTAGCGCAATTTACTGCAGCAAAACTGAGATAAAGTATCATGGCATGTGTAGGCCAACTTAGATACTTAACCTAACCTTAAATTAATCTCGCCGTACCCCCAAAAAATATTCTATATCCGCCACTGCTAGTAAAAAAACTAGGCTAACTAAGTTTTCATGAGGTTTAAAAATCTCAAATGTAATCCAGTCTTCTGGCAAGGAAGAATTAAAAAGAACAGTGTTTTCAATACTTTTTCGCCTAATAAAATTTTACAAGCCAACAACATAGGCCTAACTGACAAAACATGAGAAATATGTAGGCCTATTCTTATTAATTTATCATGTCTGGAAAAGGTTCTGCTGAACAAACATTTCCAAAATAACAGGAAAGAGGCAATTGCTTAGTAAATAATGCCATTTCTAATAATTGACTTACCTATTCCAATCATTTTTATATTTTCAAAGAATAAATTGTAAATTCTGTAAAGTTAACAACAATTGACCTCTACAAATAATTAAAATTTAGGAAATTTTAAGAGCTGAAATACATAAATAACATGCATACCCAATAGTTCACAAATCTCCTGTTGGTTATCTCGTTCACTCTTTTTATCCATAAGCTGCTGGACCGTTCCTTTCACTGCCTTAGGGATCTGGTCAACGTATTGCGGCTTGATCAACGCCTTCAAGTCATCTTCCAAAATCTTGGTGAAGTAGTTTTGCAGCTCAGATCCTCTGAAATGGCTCAGGATCTCTGTCCAGTCTGGAGGATTCTAAAATGATCATTATCATAACTTTTGAGACATCAACTTCTCCCAGTACCTGGAGCTAATTATGAATGAATGCGAGTGTAGATTTAAGAAGGAAGATCTCTCACAATTAATCTGGTGACCGTTTAACAGTCTAATCACTCAGCTAGGCCTACATGATTTAATTTATGACTCACTTCAACCAGTATCATGACATTTTGATTCAATATCTACATCTGATTATGCATAGAACTAATGGTTTTGCTATCTTGCAGCTAGAAAAAGCTTATGTTATCTTACACATTCATTAACCAACTAACCAAGCCAATGAGAGAATGAATGAAATGCCTTAACATTCAAATGAAACAAATAAATAGCTTAGGCCTACTTTTAAAACAAAAAGATGAATTTGTTTATACTAACTGTAATTAATCATCCCTGAATTAAAACAATGATGAAAAGAAATAGGTTACAGTACTTGTAAATTATTTAGGCCTAATATGAAAATCTAAATATGATTACCTACTAATTAATTGGTGTACTACATACCGAGTAACGACCTAGGTTAGGCTTCTGTTTTCCTGCTAATATTTTGAGAGCGGTTGACTTGCCGATTCCATTGGTGCCAACCAGCCCTAGGACTTCACCTGGTCTAGGTATAGGAAGTCGATGCAGCTTGAAGGAATTTTGAGAATAACGATGAGTTGTGTCTTTTTCTAAATTACTTGGCAAATTGATAATCGTGATAGCTTCAAATGGGCATTTCTGAAAATAATTCAAGGAAAATAAATTGAAGTAGTATTTGTGGTATCTGGAGGAAGAATGGAAATGTAAGATTAATAATATAGTTCATTCTCTGCTTCTAAATTATAAACAACATGGCTACTGCCTGTCAAATCTTAACGTTTTTGATTAAAGGTTTCTCTCTCCCTCTCTCTCTCTCCAAAATCTTCCATTGGCTGAAACACAAATTTTGTGAATAAATAGGAAGAAACTTAGCCTAACTTCTCCTACAGGTATGGATTTTCCCCACCTGGTAAAAGTTTTTTATAGGCTACAAAATTCTCAAAATGAACGATTAAGCAAACAATAACTTAGGTTTAAGTTTTTAATACATTAGTAAGGGAACTGTCATGTTATTTTGTATCCAAAGTAATAACAATTTAATTTTGTAGTAGGCCTACAGTTGTAAGATAGGCATATACACTTTTTTATCTACTAAGTGAAAATGTATTTAAATTTGTTGTTATTAATAAACTTGTCATCTTTTTAACTAAGACCAATCATATACCGTAGGCTATTACAAAATAGAGAGTACAATAAAATGAAACCTATCAAGGACTTACTTTTACACAGATACCACAACCAATACAGAGCTCTTCAGAAATCACAGCCAATTTATCATTAGGCGTAACTTCAATACAGAGCTTTCCCATTCTCACAACAGGGCAGGATTTCTTGCATTCTTGACGACATCGTTTGGGTTTGCATTTGTCTGTGTTGACAATTGCAATACGAGTCAACTTGTCCGTCTCCTCTGTTGCTTTGTGGTTACGAGGCATTTCTCTGAAAAATTATATAATTTAAAATAAATTAAGTTAATATGACAACTAATATCATAAAGTTTAAGTAAATTAATGACACAAGTTGTTGTAATGAAAAGCAACATTGCATCTGAAAACACTTTCCGAATGAAAATCTTTTTTATGTAAGTAAGTTTATTATTTATTTAATACAATACAGTACCTAACTAAGACTAGGCCTAACTTATTTGTAGCCTCAAATTGGTGAAATTGGTTAGAATAAAATGTAAATTATAGGACCAACTTATTTTGTAACTAATCTTAAATGGGTATGGGCGATGCATCAATTTTTCTTCACTTAATGACAAGATTGAAATGCAAGGGCAAAGTTAGATGTTTTAAGCAATAAATTAAATTTCTATAACTTGCTAGGTTTATAAATGTAATTTGATTTTGGGTCGACTTTCATAAGTGGGGCCAAAAACAACCGAATAAAAATATGATAGAGCCTATATCAATTATTTGATATCCTATTGATTATTTCATTCGGTTAGTTAGCTAGGTTAACCTAACTCACCAAACTTGATATATCGAATTACATCATATATCGATCGATATATTCATAAGGCTGTTTTTGGCCCCACTTATGAAAGTCTACCCATAATTTTACCTAACAAGTTTTTCAACTAAGTTAGATTAGCCTATAGCCATTCAGCATGAACTATTGTCTTGTCGGAGAGACTTTTTTGTTATACCATTTACCATCTCTAGCAATTTTTTGGGTAGCCTGCTTACTTTCAGTTCTGGAGAAAACCTAACCCTTCACATCTCAACAATTCTTAGGCTACAGAGATCTTTAAAATTATATTTTCCACTTTTAAAAGTTATTTATTGACCAGATTAAAAGTTTAGCGGTTGGTTAGCTGTATAACATAAAACATTTTTTACTTTTTAAGGATCATTAAAACAACTGTAGCATGAATGTGGGTTAGGCTATTATAGGTTAGGTGATAAACTAATTTCGATTTTAAACCATTATTAAGCCTTATAAAGACTCAAATTTTTAGATACGGTTTTAAACTAATTACATCAGCGTAATAAAGTTAGAATTGGTAATGTCAGCTTTAATAATTAAATAATATACTAACCCAGATGTCGACAGACGGGTGCAGTTTTCGTGTCAACCGCACCAAACGAAAGGAGGGGGGGTAATTTTGTTGGTATAGTATAGGGGAGGGGAGGGAAATAATCAGCAGGCAGAGGCAGACGTGAGACAAGAAGACACAGATAAAAAAATACATTATACAATCTTTTTCTTATTGGCTACGCCAAGAGCATGGTAATGAAATGTAGTGCATGCGCACTCAAAAGTGCCTGCTTGTGGAAATGCCGACTGCTTGTTGAAATAATTCCGAGTGCGAGTACGACTGTTTTTTGTAGAAATTCCGAATAAACACTCCGGTCTCCGCTACATGTAAAAGGTACCGTAGTGAAACGTCACAGGATCACACCATAAATAAAACATAGTCCATTGTTTTCTATAAATCTATGGCCACACTACACCTTTTCCAATTTTATTTGAGAAACAGTAGTAGTTTATTTGAGAACACATCAATTTTATCGTATTTGAGATTAGTCAAATATATTTTAGAAAACATCAAATAATGAAGTTGAGAACAGTCAGTTGCGTATTTGAGAAGGCATCAAATTCAATTAAGAGCAGTAAATTGTAAATTAAGAAAAGGTTAGATGAATTTGGGAACTTGTGATTTTCTAATGAGATACTCCAAATTTAGCTGTTTAGTTTAGTAACCAACTTCTCTAATTAAAAGCCCTAATTCTGAAATAAAATTAACTATTTCTCAGTGCCATATAATACTTTCTCAAATACAATCAATAACTTCTCAAATAAATGTGGAAAAGGTGTAGTTGTTCTTGTTCCAGTAAACATGGCTTTCAATTTCCTTACTATATCATCATTAATTCGCAAAACGAAAGGGGTGCCCATCCCGCTTTTATGGTGACGTGTGCGTGTGCATGTAACCCATCTGTTTGTTGTACCGCTGCGTATCTATACTTTTAATCCTTTTTCATTTTATAAGCTAGTTGCTGTTGATATTTACTTTCTCCCCCAGTGTGGAAGGAAAAGTCATGTTTTTTCCTTCCACCGTATCTCCCCCTGAGAAAGTATTTTTTTCTTCAGAATTTTGTAGTTTAAGGTTTGTTTATATATATATATATCTGTTTTTGGGCCACAATGAACCTAAATACTTACCCCCGCTGCAGCAAAACTGCCGACTAAGCGAATTTCCATTTGACTGAATTGATTTTCAATTAATCTATTAAATTATAAAATTTATGTTTAACGAATACCTAGGTTTCCTGCTACAGAGAAACTAATAAGGTGTGTTTTATTAAAATATTAACAGCTTAGTATAAAATACCCCCGTCGCAGCAAACCTGCATACTAAGCGAATTTCCATTTACCCGGCTTGATTTCTACTAAAATATTCCCTATAAATTTTCAGATTTATTTCCTATTTAAATAACATTAATTTTAGTGAGTAGTTAGGTTTGCCGCTACGGGGAAGATGTTGAGGTGCGTTTTTTTCAATTGAAATATTGATAGCTTAGTATGAAATAAACCAAATTGCCAAATTTGATTAAAATATATCCATAAACAAGCAAACTAGAACAGTTTATTTATTCTCCTTAAGAATAACATGGGAATTTTAAATTTACAATTTTTTTAATTTTCTCCGTAGTCAATGAACATTCAAAAACACTTCAATATACTAAATTATTTGTTTTTTTAAGCTCTTCAAAATGGTCTAGAGAGAAATTTTGAAATTTAAAGTTTTTAGGGTCAAAAATGAGAAAACCCCATTTTTACCCCATACAACCCCCCATAAACCCCTGATCCCATGGTCCGATTATGCTGGTTCCCGAACTCGTTTGAATAAATGTAAGTTTACAGGTTTGTACCAAATTTCATCAAAATCGGATCAATTTTGCTCGAGTTATCGCGCTAACGGACACACACACATATATATGAATTATAACGGATGGTGTTTTTGGCCTCTGGGGACCTCAAAAAGAAAAAGTAAATCGGTCCCGGGTCTAGGTCTTACCATGAGACCTACGGTATTGCTTATTCCCTATTTGGGAAATTCGCTAATAGATAAATCTGCAAAGTTTGATCAAAATATATATCCATAAACAAGCCAATTACAACATTTTACATTATTCACCATAATAATAACGTGGGAATTTTAAATGAACATAATTTTTTTTAAATTTTCTCCGTAACCAATAACCGTACAAAAACACTTTGATATACGGCTGTACCTCCCCCTTCTGAAACAAATTTTACAAAGTCAAAATAATGTAATTAGAGCAATAGTAACACTATTTGCTATGACCTATCAACTTAAGCCAGCAACAAAAAAATAAGTATAGTAGAAGAAAATAGCATTTTAGGCACTATATCACATTCTGGGACTGGCTCACACAACTACGTTCTTTTTTTGAAAAAAAAAAAAATGGCGAAATCTGATCCATGTGGATAGGAAGTATACTTCAGTATCCAATAGGGTTGGGGGGGGGGTCATGTAGAGTCATATTTAGATGTCTAGTATAATTTAAAGAAAAAGATTATCAAGAAAAAATTGCCTCTCATTTTAAATTGAATTATTTTTGTCATTATGCATTCACTATTTTACCCTGACTAAAAATAGTTTTTACTGTATATTTATAGCATCCACGAGGACTACTACTAACTCTACTACTGCACTACTACTACAGATTTTCTCTTATCTAGTTTGAATAAATTACTTTTATCTATCAGTTATGCAATGATGTTCCAATATAAGACTAGTTTGTAGCTTTTGTGAGAAATGTTTTTGTTAGTAAACATTATAGTGAGAAACATTTTCGTATGAAAAACATTACTTGAAAGACATGTCGAAAGAAGGTAGGTATTGAATGTATCACTTAAACTATGTTGAAATTATTAATAGTTGAATTTTGTATAGTTGAAAACGTAACAAGTCGATATTTTTTATCGTCTAATTTTGTTTATTATCATCTTATTTTGCTACAAATCTAGTGCCAGTACCATTTCATTTTGTATGTATACTAATTTGTTATTTAACTTCAAAACTTCCAATCACTACACAGGTGGCAGGGGCTAACCAATAAAACAAGCACACAAACATTGAAACATAATAATGGCATACCCAAGCAAGGGGGAGAGGGCTGATATTGAGCAAATTTGACAAAATTATTAACTTTTTATTGATTAGTCCTGTTGGCATCTAACATGGGCAAGGTAAGCCCAGCAGCAACACTATTGTATTCTACCAACACCAACCCGACTCAACTATGCAAATTTATTTATGTTAAATATTGATTGTTTAGTATTTAATATTTATTTAATAGAACCATTGTGGATTGTAGATATTATACACTGGTAGTTTCAATAAATATCCAAGACAGAAATTTTAGACCCTCACAATTTTATAGCTGAGGTAGAAATTCTCTTTAATTTTAGAGAAAAAGAGACCAGACCCAGACTTGCCCCTGGATGTGTCCCGTTTACTGCTCAGAGTTGGCGACATAATGTTTGTCCAAAATCACCCGAAGAAAAGGGCGGAGAAAGAATACTACTGCCCTATAGTAGACATTGGGGAAGAAGAGCATAGACTGATTGTGAGTCATTAATTGTGAGTCCACGTTTCTCAATCATCATAATAACATAAATTGTTTGTTCAAAACAAGAGTGAAAGAGGTCATTACATGAGCGAGGTGAATAAAAACTAGAGAACTCTCCCACTTGTATTATTTTGAGTGAACACTTGGCAGCAAGTGAATAAAGGAGGAGTTCAAAAACTACAAGGGGACCCTATTCCGGCACGAGACAACTCTTAAAAAACATGTAAATAAAGATAAAGCCAACACTTGCCTAGGAAGAAACCCCTTCTAGATTTACAAGTCAGGGCCAACCATCCAACCCCAGAGCTAGCAACCCACACCTCTTGTTACTGATGGTTACTTGCCTAAAATGGCTGCTTTTATGCATATTCGTGAGCATAAACTATGGAGTTAGAAGAAGTATAAGCCCTAACAGGTCTAAACAATTACTTAGACTTGAAAATGAAAGTGTCAGTTTCATTTCGAATTAAATTAACTAATATAAAAAAATAAAAATTTAATTAATATAAACATATGATTTTTAACAATTATTGTTAATACACAGAGCAATAAATAAACTTATAACCTAGTTATCATTGACTATTGTCAAAGCTAGTATGTAAACTTTTTAAATCCTAAATCTGATTACTTTTGGCCACAGAATAAAGCTATATCAAAAATTTGAAATGGCCAATGTGAGATTGTTTTTGTTTTTTTTTTAACAAGTGTTTTCTTTAAAAACAAGAGTTCTCTACAAGTGATCACTTAATTGCCGCAAGAGGCACTACCATACCACAACAAAACTCTCGCGAGTGAACTCTTTTTGTTTATTCACATGTTATTTAAAAGTAGACTAGACTTCGCTTAGTGAACACTCTCAAGTCATCACTTGTTTTTATTCTACTCGCTCATTATTGACCATATTTTTAAAGTGCTCGATAAATCTCGCACTTCAACCATGGTCTCAAATGCAATCACTCACTTTTTACTTTTACTATTAAAGCTAGAATCATATAAATCCTACTAATATTATAAATGAGAAAGTTTGGATGTTTGTGACAAGTGAACGCGAAAAATACTGGTCGGATTGGGCTCAAATTTGGCATGATGATAGCTCACATTCCCGATTAACATATAGGCATATTCTTATTTCAAAAATTCTTTCGGGCTCTGCCCCAGTGGCTCTGGAGTTTCCCATGTTAACCTTATGAGAAATGGAATTATTGAATATTAACAGCTGTTTCAATTAAACAAGTTGGTTCTGTTCTATGATGTTCAATAGCATTAAAGTTACAGGAATTACCAACAGGGTGCAGCACTATTATTTCTTTTACATTTATGACAACAGCTAATTTGCAACCAAAAGGTGAGTGAGCGTAGCGAACGAACTTCAACCTGGAGGCGAGTTAGCGTAGCGAACGAGCTAACCTGAAGGCAAGTGAGCGCAGCGAACGAGCTCCAACCTAAAGGTGAGTGAGCGTAGCGAACAAACTTCAACCAGGACGTGATTGAGCCATGCGAACGAGATAATCTTAAAAATTAAGAAGTTAAACGGCGCAAAGCCCGCGGGTTACAGCTAGTAATAGATATACTGTAGGTGCATTTTTTGTGTAACTACATACTATCTGACACTACTTAGTTGTACAATCAGGACTTGGAGAGCTAGTGAGATAAAAACAGATGCAAGAATGCAAGGGTCACAAAAAAGATTTGTGAGAGCAGGGAGCTGTACTAAAACCAGATTATTAATAATAATTTGACCAGAACAATTTTAAATTAACAGTTTTATTTCTAAAGTTAGCTGTGCTGAATCCTGAGATGTATGCAATTCAAACCTTATAGAGGGAAAAGATTGTATATTACCTGTACTGAGAATGACAGAGAGAAATGAGAGTGACATGAAAATTACTAATATTGACTTAAGCCTAGCAAAGTTTTGAGATTGAGGAACCTTTTCTCTATTTTATTTTGTGAACGAGTTATTTTTATTTCAGGCAACTAGACTTGTTAAGTGGTACAAAGAGGACGAATTGGATGATCGGCTATGTGTTGTGGTGGTTAATATTCGGGAATTGGCTGTTCACGGAATTGAATCTGAAGGAATATTGCTTTGTGCTCAGGATGATAAATTTGGTTTTGAACTTGTATCCCCCCCATCAGGTAATTAAATAAATATATTAGTAGTTTGTTTTACTAACAACATCAGTTATTAAATAAATTTCTGTATTCCATATACCTATACATTTAAGTGATTATATCAAATATTTATTTTTTTTTCAGATTCTCAACCAGGAGATCTAATCATGGTTCCAGGGTACAAATATCATGAGGGTTCAACAGGAATTACTTACGATGATTTCAACTTAATCGCTGAGGATTTGGGAGTGAATAGCGAAAAACAAGTTGTTTATATGGGCATACCTCTGGAGGTTCCTGGAAAAGGATATGTAACAACCCAGTTTTCAAAAGACTGTCCAATCAGGAGTCCTATAGAAAAATAATTGTTAAACTTATATTTTATAATTTGTATTTTTTTACTCTGGCCATTAAAAAGTTTATAAACGAAATACCAGCTGTTAAATTTCGTCATACCACTCTTTTAATTTACAGAATGGAATGGAATCCTAAGCTTAACTGTTTTTAGTCAATGAATAAAATATTTTTAAATAAGCTGGGTCGGACCGGGTTTTTGTTTGTGAGAATTATTTTTTAAATACATTTTTTGTAAATAGTAACAATATACCCTGCAAATTTGCACACTAAGCAAATTTTTCCATTTGCCTGATTATAATTTCACAAAAATAAGTTAGAAAAATACACTATTGACAGGTTTGGAACTATTGTGATAGTTTTTTGTTTATAGTACAAACCATTCAACATGTTATTTGATTATACCTTAAAATCTATCATTGATTTTGTATCTTAGGTAGCCTAACTAAGTGTTTACAGTCTGAGTTTAAAAAATGCCCTCGCAGCAAACCTGCAGACTAAGCGAATTTCCATTTGCCTGATTGGATTTACACCAAAATGCCTCCTTAAAATTATCACATTTATTTCCTAAATAGAATTAGTTTAACAACTAATACTTAGGTTTGCTGCAACAGAGATGGTAAAAAAGTGTTTGTTTTTTTTGTAAAATGTTAATTGTTTAATAAAAAAAATTCATCTTCCAAAATTTAATCAAAATATGTTCATAAACAAATAAACTACAAAAGTTTACTTATTCACCATAAGAATAACATGAGAATTTTAATTTTAAAATTTTTTGGAATTTTCTCCGTAACCATTAGGCACATAATAACGCTACAATATACTAAATTATTTGTTCTTTAAGCTCTACAAAATATTTTTAAAAGGAATTGCAAAATGTTATGTTTTTAGGGTTAAAAATGGGAAATACTCATTTTCATTCCATAAAATCCCCCATTCCCATAGTCCGATCATGCTGGTTCGCGAACTCGTTCAAATAAATGTGGGTTTACACGTTTAAACCAAATGTCATCAAAATTGGATAATTTTTTCTTGAGTTATCGTGCTAACGGACACACATACATGAATTCGAACTTTTGCATACTGACCCCGTTGCAAGGCACGGGTATAGCTGCTAGTTTCCAGTTTCCCCATAAAAAACCCATAAAATAACAAAAATCGGATTTGAAGAAAAAACTTGGGTTTGATTAAAATTAATGCGTCATGGTCCTTATAATTCTAAACAAAATAGTGCAACCACCCATTTCTGTAACAACTACGGTTCAAAAGTTATTGCAACTGTTGTGATTGTTCACTGTAAAATACCATAGCTGCTCCCACCATTTACCCATGATAAAGGTTGTTAATAAGTTTATGGGAGAAAGTATGTGTCAGATTGCTGATACCGTTTATTTTAGATTATGATTTTTTTATCAACAGGGTGTTTATAAATGATACATCAGGTTTTAATGTCATATATCTCACTTATTTCTTATGCCACATTAATAATTTTAACATGATTATAGAGCATGTATTCAATTGTTATACTCAGCTGTTCAATACTCATTCTTGTCATTTTATTGGGTTTTCTTACATCTAATTCAAACATGAACGGATTTGCACTGCCATAGGGTGCGTTCACAAAGAAAGCTAGTTACAAGAGCTTGTTGGCAAGCGCTTGCAAGCTCGAACCGGCGTGAGAAAAGTCAACATAGTATCAAGCGTGTGCGTTCACAGTCAAAGATTGTGCTAGCAAGCGCTTGTTACAAGCTCTGACAAGCACGCAAGAACGTTTCGTACTTGTTTTCCAGCGCTTGTTGACCGAACCAGTCAGGTACAAACTACCTACTAACAGTGCAGTATGGATGTCGATGAGTTGGCTCAAGTATAGCACCTAATTTCCAAAAAAAAATATATAACCCACGTATCGTGGTTTTTCCCTAGAATGTTCAATAACGTAACCGATATGACAAATATAACATGTATGTATTAAGATGATAGACAAACACATTTAATTTCATATTAATTAAGTGTTGGATTTGTTATAGATGAAACTTGTACACTTTTACTTTATTTATCTAGAATACCCCCGCTGCAGCAAACCTGCCGACTTAGCGAATTTCCATTTGCCTGGATTGATTTTTAATTATTAATCTATTAAATTAACATTTATGTTTAACGAGTACCTAGTTTAGCTGCTACAGGGAAACTAATAAAGTGTGTTTTTTATTAAAATATCAATAGCTTAGTATGAAATAAATAAAAACGCCAAGTTTGATCAAAATTTATCCATAAACGAGCCAACTACAACATATTATAAAATTCTCCATAAGAATATAACATGGGAATTTTAAATTAACTTTATTTTTATTTTCTCCGTAACCAATTATTGTACAAAAACACTTTGATATACAAAATTATTTGTTTTTTAAGCTCTTTAAAAAGTTCAGGAGAAAAATTGATAAATTGTGTGTTTTAAGGGTAAAAAATGAGGAAAACCCATTTTTACCCCATAAAACCCTCCGTTATACCCCGTTCCTATGGTCCGATCATGCTGGTTCGCGAACTCATTCAAGTTTATCCTGCCTTACACCTTCAAACCAAATTTTATCAAAATCGGACAAAAATTACTCAAGTTTATAAATATACTAGCTGTGTACCCGTTCTACGCACGGGGATCTTACAGTATCAGCTGAAACCTTCTTATATAAAGAACAGTAGTCGGTTTGCATATTTTCATATTTTGTATGCTGGCCAAACTATTTATTAAACATAACTTCATTTTATGTCGTTTGTTGTTGTTCCGGATCGGTATGACGATCAGTAAAAGGCTAAATTACCTGTGTCCACCGGTCGATCCTAATGTCTATTACAGGAGATGCATTTCGGCGAAATTAAATCACCAACATCAGTCCTAATATTAAGGTCTTGAGCTTCCCCATTAGGTGTGTCTTGGAGTTTTTGAAACACATACACGAACTGTACACTTATATACATGACGAATAAAACATAAATACACGGTAGGCCTACTTTTATTTTTACTATGGACAAGTAGACGCGCGTCGGTCGTGTGCCGAGTCTTGACTGAAAACGCTCATTTAAAAAATGTAAGTTTCCCAGCAATATACAACACTGATTCAAGGTCTATTTCCCGGTTATCAAAACTCAAGAACAATTTTATACACAAAGAATCTCTATTTTCATTTACTGTTACCCTACATATTATTGCACTTACTTGCGATTAATTAAATCCGTTATGTAAGGAAAAACGTTTTTAATCTTAATTGGTTTTGTTTTGCTTTCAAAACGTGATCGGAAATGGTTGCGGTATTTGTAAACAACATTCAATGTAAACATATCAGTGACAGCTAGAAGAAATAATATTGACTTGAACAGCTGTTCGTTATTTCATAGAAGAATATGTGCTAAACATTGGGAGAAAACTTTATATAAATCGCACAAAATTGGGTTTTTAAACGTCCGTCATTTTATTTACAAAGTGGTGACGCCATATTTTAATGGCTAAAGACAATCTCGTCAATCCAGTGAATGCATTAAAATGATTTGGAACTTGATAGGTACTCTCGTTTTTCAGGAGTAGGCCGCGTAAAATGGCTCTTGGGTCGTAACAGACATGAAGACAGACAGAAATTTAGATGAGACTTGTTTCGGTTTCTCTAATGTATAGCACGTAAAAATAACCTAAAGGTTTATGATTCGGAGCAATGTACAGACAAAACTCTAATTTTATTTATATAGACTAGCTGGCCCGACAGACGTTGTCCTGTCCTAATGTGGTTTTATGTCAAATGCTCGTTCATTTTTAAGATGAGCTCGTTCGCATGGCTCAATCACGTACCGGTTGAAGTTCGTTCGCTGCGCTCACTCACCTTTAGGTTGGAGCTCGTTCGCTGCGCTCACTTGCCTGCAGATTAGCTCGTTCGCTACGCTAACTCGCCTCCATGTTGAAGTTCGATCGCTACGCTCACTCACCTTTTGGTTGCAAATTAGCTGTTGTCATAAATTTAAAAAATAATACAGCAGTGCTGCACCCTGTTGGTAAATCTATTAACTTTTTATGCTATTGAACATAACAGAATCAAATAGTTTAGTTGAACCAGCTGTTAAGATTCTTTAATTCCATTTAAATATGAGTACTCATAAACTTGGGGAACTCCAGAGCCACTGGGGTGGAGCCCTTTTGACGGATCTGCACCAAACTTCACACAAATCATCCTTGAATAATACTTAATAATGCCTGAAAGTTTCATTACAATCTGTCGAGCGGTTTCGGAGTCCATAAAGGACAAACATACATACATACAAACATACATTGGATTATATATATATACTAGCTGGCCCGACAGACAGACGTCGTCCTGTCCTAATGTTCTCGAAATCTCAATCGCAATCACGCTGCGATACACTATACACTATCACTAGTTTGATGACCACTAGCCGTGACGTGAGTAAGTTTTATATATGAGCGAGTTAGGTGGACCAGAACGTTAAGTTCCGATCCGTACTTGAGAAAGTTTCGTTATTTACACGTCTCTGCCACAACTTTGGATCACTGTAGTTAGACAGGTAGTCTATTTATTGAAACTCCTACTTCCTAGCGAGAGTGTAAATACTGATATCCAGTTAACACGTTCATACGAACATGAATTGTAGCAGTATTGTTGTATGTAAAACGTAATATTTCTATTTAAGTTAAGTGGGTGTGACATAAACGTGAAAACGTGGATTTGATTTATTTTATTCACACTTTTATCATCCTTTAAAGGAATATTATTCAGCATAACGTTTAGTGCTACTCTGCGGCGTTAACTGAAACTAACTGCAGCAATTCAAGTAGTGCAGAACATGCCCGTTATAGAAGCATAGCGCTAGCCTCTATTTTCGGCACTACTATAGAGGTAAATGCAAGTAGTTTCAGTTTCAGGTTTCAGTCAGTTGAGTTAACGCCACAGAGTTGAGCTAATCGTTATATGGTTGAATACTGTAATAGCTGTTTACATTACAAGTGTAGTAAGAGCGTTTTTACTTCACGCAGGTGAATGTTGTGCAACGAGCGGAAGCGAGTTGCATAATTCACCTAAGTGATGTAAACACGCTCTTGCGTAACGTGTAACGTACAAGATTTTACCTGACCCGACAATATACATGGGTTTACGTACAATATTTTTCATTATCCATTTCACTCATCTTCTATCAGTAACGTTCTTTTACTAACAAAAGCTAGGTTAGGTAGGAAAATACTTTAAAGCATAACAATAACATTCAAGCGCACAGCTGATTTCTAGCGTTGAACGTAGTTGGCTCCATCCTACTAATATTATAAATGAGAAAGTTTGGATGTATGGATGTATGTTTGTGACAAATGAACGCGAAAAATACTGGTCGGATTGGGCTGAAATATGGCATGATGATAGCTCACATTCCCGATTAACATATAGGCATATTCTTATTTCAAAAATCCTTTCGGGCTCCGCCCCAGTGGCTCTGGAGTTTCCCATGTTAACCTTATGAGAAATGGAGTTATTGAATCTTAACAGCTGTTTCAATTAAACAAGTTGGTTCTGTTCTATGATGTTCAATAGCATTAAAGATACGAGGATTGCCAACAGGGTGCAGCACTATTATTTCTTTTACATATATGAAAACAGCTAATTTGCAACCAAAAGGTGAGTGAGCGTAGCGAACGAACTTCAACCTGGAGGCGAGTTAGCGTAGCGAAACAGCTAACCTGAAGGCAAGTGAGCGCAGCGAACGAGCTCCAACCTAAAGGTGAGTGAGCGTAGCGAACAAACTTCAACCAGGACGTGATTGAGCCATGCGAACGAGATAATCTTGAAAATTAAGAAGTTAAACGGGGCAAAGCCCGCGGGTTACAGCTAGTAGAGTTATATTTTTGAAGTTAATCACTCAATGTTATTTAAATGGGTTTCTTTACATCACCGAGTGAGTTTTTGATACTTTACATCACTCGAGAAGTAAGGAAGTTGTATACATCACGATCACGCTTGGGATAGGGAAGTTTAACATGGCGGGTTAGGTAAAATTCCATTATTGTATGGAAAAAATTATGCATAAAAGAAATAAAATCCACATTTTACGCTTATATTACACCCACTTCCCACTTCACTTAAATAGAAATATGTTTTACATACAGCAATAAAACATTCGCCTATTGGGTCTGTCTTACTACTATGATTCATTTAGTAAGTTCCTAAGTTCATGTTCAAGTTTACCGTAGGCGTCACTGTCACTAAGAACGGATCGGAACGAAACGAAACGTTTGTTCTGGTCCAAGTAATCAATCTTTCTCATGTTCTTAAAATTCTTAATTTATCGCCCTTCCACTTTGTCATAATCTTTCGAAAACTTTCGAACCATCAAAAAGATACTAACTTTTCTCAGGATCGAAACCGGGCAGAAGGCATCTCTGCTCTCTGGGCTATTAGGAAACTACCACCACCAATCTACCATGGATAAAACCATAATAAAACAGAACCAACACAAGTTTTGTGCCTTGTGCAATAATAGTAATTAAGTGCAAAATTGTCATAAATTAAGTCATAGACTAATCAACATAAATAGAACCTTGTAAAATCTGATTTTTTCATATCTATTGCATGTTGTTTGCTAAGGGAATATCCTTAATCTATGATACGTGTATACTCAATAATATTACGCTTATCAGTGTTGGCTGCGTTGAGCTTTTTTCCCCATTTTTGTTCCAATAAATATTTTGACAGTTAGTTGAGGAAACAAAAACAGCTGTTACTGTCCCATATGTTTGTTTTACAAACAAATTTTGTATGGAAATTAGAATGATTAGAAATCCAATTTTAATCAACTTGAACGAAGATATGCTAGATGTAGATGTTTGTTTGTGTAGTAGGCAGTCGCTGGTTTAGTAGAAAAATCTGATTGTTATTTTCTCTTTCAAACTGAGAATCATTAGGTGTCTTTTTCCCATCATGTAGGCCAAAATTGAGCAGTAAAGTTCTCAATCTGGTGAGTCAATAGTCAATGGCATTAGTAATAATTCAATTTTGATGTGAATGCCTTGTTTTTAAATGAAATGTATTAATCTTCAGTTGCCTTTGACAGGCGCAGAATTTTAAGTAGCCTAAGATTTAAAGAACTTAAAAGTTCCTGGGTCAAATTTTTTAAAGCTGAAATTATAGGTAATGTCTGATGGCCGAATTTTGATCCAGTATTATTTAATACAAATGAATAAGATACCATGCGGTTGGCATTCTGGGTTATAGTAGTATGTTTTCTGTGATAAGACACACAAAAGTTTATCAAACAAGTTGCAAGTTATATTGTAAACACGCTAAAGCCTTTTTCCATTATGTCTGACAATACTGTACTGTGCCTAGGTACCTATTTCCTACTGCAATCGGGAATATCCTGTCCTGAGTGTAATGTGTTAGTAAATAATGATTTTATATTACATAGGCCTAGAGTACACTACATAAATAATATTACATTAACTTACAATCTTTTATGTTTCAGATTAACCACAAGTCCTGCCTCAAAAAGCAATAATAATGTTTACGATAGGTTTACTGACGGCTGTCTTCCTTGTGGTCTTTGCACTGTTAGCAGGCATGGTGCTAACTCTGATAATTCAGTGGTACTTTTTCAATAGGTATTTATTGAAATTACCACTTGCCTCTCAATCTGAAGAAGTTATTGCTGAACAGTTTCAAATTCCCCAGGTAGGCCTAACTTAACTTAGCCAAATGTTAATTTTATTAAAACTAACTTAGATGTTTCCATCTGACTGAGATTATCTTCACAATATCTCCTCAATTGCCTGTGTGTATCAAGAAATTGTCTTATGAATCGTATGATGTTCTGTAGGCTAAGGTATTATGAGTTTCATGACTCCTATAAGTTAGGCTAACTTATTTACTTAGGCCGGGTACAGTTTCTTAACTGGGCTATGCTAATATCGATTGAAACTATCGATTCGATTAATAAGTTAAACCTTCATGCAAATTTTTCACCATCAGCAAGTTTGGTTGGTTAGGTAAGGTTATGATAGTTTAATTTTATAATAGACTAGCTGTACCCGCGGGCTTTGCCCCGTTTTACTTCATAAGTGAGCTCGTTCGCATGGCTCAATCACATCCTGGTTGAAGTTCGTTCGCTACGCTCACTCTGGAGCTCGTTCGCTGCGCTAACTCGCCTCCAGGTTGAAGTTCGTTCGCTACGCTCACTCAGCTGTACCCTCGGGCATTGCCCCGTTTTACTTCAAGGGAGCTCGTTCGCATGGCTCAATCACGTCCTGGTTGAAGTTCGTTCGCTACGCTCACTCACCTTTTGGTTGCAAATTAGCTGTTGTCATAAACAAAAAAAAAAATAATAGTGCTGCACCCTGTTGGTAATCCTTGTAAGTTTTTAATGCTTTTGCATATCATAGAACCAACTTTTTAGTTGAAACAGCTGACTAAATTCTTTAATTCCCTTTTAATATGAATACTCATAAGGTTAACGTGGGGAACTACAGAGCCACGGGGGCGGAGCCTGAAAGGATTTTTGAGATAAGAATATGCCTATATGTTAATCGGGAATGTGAGCATCATGCCAAATTTCAGCAAAATCCGTCCAGTGGTTAATGCGTTTACCTACTTGTCACAAACATACATCCATACATCCAAACTTTCTCATTTATAATATTAGTAGGACATATTTAAAAATATTGATTATTGATCAATATTTTGAATTTGATAGTTTCAATCAATATTAATTAGCATAGCCCAGTTAAGAAACTGTACCCCTTAGGCCTACTTCTAACTTAACTGTTGTACTTTTTAATTTGTCTTGCATCCCTTTTCTGAAGTTCATTTTACAATAAGGAGGTAAAAAATCATACGTAAGTGGTAAGCTTACTAAATAACAATTAAATAGTTAAGTTTAACCTTCCAGAGGTCGCATCACGGAAGTAACCTCCAGGGATGTTTTATTTTTCGCGATTATATTAAGTTATTTTGAGTGGTATCGGCATTGTGAGTGTCACTGTACCTCACGTACCTAATTCCTAGACGGAGTGAAGGTCAAAACTCACCCATACTATTTTATATTTGTTAGTTTTGTTCAGTTTTATAAGAGGCTGGGAGTAACTTCCGTGTGCGCTCTGCCGATTCTTGTACAGCCTGGAGGCAACTTCTGTAATGCGACCTCTAGTTTAGTGTGTGCGTTGATTATTGTGTGTAAATAATTACTGTAGGGCCTAAATACTAATTATTTTTTTACGATTTATGGCATTATTTAATAAATATATAGTTTTTACAAGATGAGTGAAGATACAAGTGATCTATTGATAAAGCGGACCTTGAACTACCTAACTAAGTTAAACAAAGCCCAGAAATTACAAACTTTTAACCAAAACAAAAGCCAAAAAAGAAAAATCTGTGTATCCTCCTCCCTTATAGTAATATAATAAAAATAAATCTGTGTTGTGTGCAATCTTTATTAAATAACTTCCTGATCAGCATCGTTTGTGTCATTAAATTAATAAATAATGAATTAAAATCTTATAGTGTCAAAAGTGATCCTTAGTAGTCCATATAGGCTACTGCATTTACATTCCCGAGGGGAACTTCATCAGTTGAAGGATATCAAATTACACTCCAAAATCCATCGACGTCATATTTACATAAATCTCGGACGAACACTCGAACATAACAAATAAACAATGCATGCAAAACTGCTATAATAAACCAACATTAAGCTATGACATTAACCAACATTAAATAGCCTAGAAATGAACAGGCCCAACTTCTACCTCTCATAGAAACCATCACAACCATGGTATAGGAATGTAATTTATTTCTCAGGTTGCTAAAGTACTTATAATTATACTAGGCCTACATAAAAATTATCAAAATTGTATAAACCGTTTTTGATAAATATTGTTTTTACTAGCTCAATCCATAAATAAACATTACAAAAACCCCGTACGGGAAAATACACTACACACGGAGGTGATTTTACTAAATTACCTGAAAGGGAAAAAACTTCAAATAACCCTTTTAATAATACAGGGTGAATAAAAAGTCAAGACCCCCCCCTCTAATATTTTTCCAAGTAAATATACAGAGATATCCTTTTGGCGGTCAAGCAATCTTAGCAGGAAGTTTCATTTTATCATTTTGAAATTTTTGAGTGCCCCCCCAAAAGGGGGGATTTGGGGGGCAACTCAAATATTTTAAAAGTAAACCCCCTTCAAGTGACACCTCATTTTGAAGAGTTTACAAAAACTTAAAGAATGGTGAAAACTAGAGGTCGCTATCTCTTCTCTATCCAAAATGGTAGCCCGTCAAATGTTGTGGAAAATCAACGGTAAAATTGTTAATATTGGCTGCCATTTTGGATAGAGAAGAGATAGCGAGCTCTGGTTTTCACCATTCTTTAAGTTTTTATAAACACTTCAAAATGAGGTGTCCCTTGAAGGGGGTTTCTATTGAAACATTTTTAGTTGTCCCCCGAATCCCCCCTTTTGGGGGACACTCAAAAATTTTAAATGTAAACCCCCTTCAAGTGACACCTCATTTTGAAGTGTTTACAAAAACTTAAAGAATGTTGAAAACCAGAGCTCGCTATCTCTTCTCTATCCAAAATGGCAGCCAATATTAACAATTTTACCGTTGATTTTCCACAACATTTGACGGGCTACCATTTTGGATAGAGAAGAGATAGAAACCTCTAGTTTTCACCATTCTTTAAGTTTTTGTAAACTCTTCAAAATGAGGTGTCACTTGAAGGGGGTTTACATTTAAAATATTTGAGTTGCCCCCCAAATCCCCCCTTTTGGGGGGACACTCAAAAATTTCAAAATGATAAAATGAAACTTCCTGCTAAGATTGCTCGACCACCTAAAGGATAAATCTGTATATTTACTTGGAAAAATATTAGAGGGGGGGTCTTGACTTTTTATTCACCCTGTATATTTACACATAGTGCCAAGACGGTAAATAGGCTACATATGAAAAAAGATAGTGATAGATTTTAATCAGACAAAATAGGTGAAAAAGCAATCATTATTAATATTAATAGTGGTTTATTTACCTTGTATTTTCGTCACAGCTCAAAAATGTTGTATAGAAGCTACAACCATGGTTTCGACGCCGTTTGCGTCATGGTCACGTAGGACATGTCGAGAATTAAAGCATAGTTGTTGTTGTCACAGTCGGTCGCTTGGACGTCGTCAAAAACACATGAACACAAACACGAACACATACGGACATATTAACACTTAACAAAAGGTTCTCGGGGACGGAGTACAGGCCTGCGTTTATTTAACTGTACCGTCGCGGGAGCTGGCTGGAGAACACACAGCCCCGCGACGGTACAGTTAAATAAACGCAGGCCTGTACTCCGTCCCCGAGAACCTTTTGTTAAGTGTTAATATGTCCGTATGTGTTCGTGTTTGTGTTCATGTGTTTTTGACGACGTCCAAGCGACCGACTGTGACAACAACAACTATGCTTTAATTCTCGACATGTCCTAAGTGACCATGACGCAAACGGCGTCGAAACCATGGTTGTAGCTTCTATACAACATTTTTGAGCTGTGACGAAAATACAAGGTAAATAAACCACTATTAATATTTGTCTTACCAGCTCAGGGGCAAACCACAACAATGAGTAAATCATTATTAAACTTACAAATGTTTTCAACTTCCACCTAAGCAAAACCGTTTATCTGAGTTGGGCCCTCCCACTGCCTAAGCCACATTTTAACAAGGTTAATATGGATTGTACAGTTATGGGATTTGATCCCGCTTATGTAGAAAGATCTCAACAATATATTGGTCAATACAATACCTTATCCAACCTAACTATCATGTCACTGAGTTGGAAAAAAACGTATATTTCAGAGTCTTCTGGAAGGGGACTTCAAGCCAGAGCCTGCCAAAGCTCTCAACTCAGTCTTGCAGTTTCTGTTTCAAGAATGCCGCAACACCAAACGAGTCCGCAGGTGGTTCCGTACTCGCCTCAGCATCGAGTTGGAAGAGCTTCTAACCCGCACAACCACGGGCAAACTGTTTGAAGCCATTGCTGTATGTTTTTAAACGTTGTGTACCCTTAGCTCTTAGATCTTGTGTAATTTATAAGTAAGATCGTTTAAACAGTGAAACCCTAACCGACTAAAATAAAGGGGAGGCTGTCTCAGACAACCTTTTTTCCGGTTAGTTGATGGTTAGAATGTAAAAGCTATTTCCGTGCAAAGTGTGACACAAAATTCTAGGAAGGGAATAAACTAGTATTCACCAAAGCCAGGCTAGGCCTACCCCTAGAACCAGCCACACTTAAATTTCTTCCCCGGAGTGCTCAGAAGTAGCCGAGAAAAATCCAGGTGTTCGGGCTATACTAAGTTGTTCATGGCTTTAACTGATCAATCTATTGAATTTAGTTGAAGGCTCAGAGCTTTAGAAGCGCTCTGGAAATCCTGCAGACGCTCAGTAGGAGCTATTTTATCCCCACCTTCCTTAAAGTGTTTTGGGAAATATTGCCTAACTTTAAGATTGACTCTGTAGGACCGACGAGTATTCTATCTCAGCCAATTTGATAAACCTACTTGTATTATACGCATTATACGCTCTAATCTCCCCATACAGATAAGAGAATGGGAGGGAGACAGTGTCACGGTTTTCAGCAGAAAGATCGGGCGCTGGCTTCTCGGTCTGAGCGATGATGCTGCCGAAGAGCTCATCAGATCCCAGTACAGGGCATAATGAAAGTCGATGACAATTCTAAAACTAAATTAGGCTAATAATACCAAACTACTTCAGTACTGGCACCCTCATTCAAGTACTTCAATATTGTTCATGTCCAGTCTTTTTATGCCAACAATATGGCAAAAAAAATACTTCTTTTTATTTAAATAATTATTTGTTTATTTTGTTATATTGTCTGTGAAGTGGTGAGCGACGGAGAAGACTCTCCCCACACGCAGATGTACAGTCTTTGTGGGGATTTTTTTTCCTTTGTACTTTGCTTTACAGCCACGATTGTAATTTTTGTAATTTGTAATTTTGGAAATAAATATATTCTTATTCTTATTAAACTTTAAACTATTGGGCTAAAGACGTTGGGAAATACTATAAAATGTAATATAATGTTAGAAATTCCTACAGAGCCTACGTAGCCTAGTTATTAATATGTTTAAACAAAGAATTTAGCGGGATACGATAAATAATAAATTTAATACTAATATTCGTCACTGATCAAATCGGTATGCGAGCGCCCCAGACTTGATTCTCTCACCCACCTGTGACGGGGTTCAGAGCTCAGATGACAAGTTTCGGGGCATTTAAACGACAAAATAATTAACATAAATTCAAGTAATAATTATTTGTTCTGTGAACTGGTAATTGTATTTTCGAAACTAATTAATTAAAATACTAAACGATAGCCACCGCTAGTCACTGGTGGTTCTAGACTCAAGTCGGTGAAATTTAAGAACAAGAATTAGATATCTAAAATCAAATTTGGAAATGTGGATGCGTAGGCCTATTACAAAAGAAAATTAATGTAAAACGTGATTAACTATGAGCTAACCTTCGGAATATCGGCGATCGACGTTTAAGCGTAGGTAGTCTTGTAACGATGATGTTACTACTACTTTAAAATGCTGTTTTATATTTAAATCTCTGTAATGTTTGACGCCTATTTTGTTCTCTTTGTTCAAGAATAATGTATTCTGGTTCTGATTCTGATACTTCGCAGACGACGTATGAACGAATAATACTGTCTTGTCTTAAAATCACTCATTCCAGTCCGGTCGAGGCTTACGCGCTCTAGCGACGAACTTAGGTACTAATAGACAACAGCTGATCGAATATTCACCTGTTGAGCCGGTCTAGTTGTCTGTCGTCGGTCAACAAATACCAGTCTTGATGTTATGTTATGTCGTCGTCGGCGTTAAATATTGGTAAAATCGGTCGGTTTAACTTTATTTGGTGAATTACAGTGGTATTACTGATGAATATGTCGTGTAGGTGTGTGTATATTCTTCACTGTGATTAAAACTAGCCCTACGTTCCTTGGCCGATAGCCCAAACCATGTATTAACACATAGGCCTAGGAATAGGCTATTGGGGATGAAAACTGATAAGTTCTGGTGTTTATTTAATCGTTACACGTTTTTACCCCCTTTAAATTTTGTACCTTTTGGTACCTTACAAAAGAGATCAACAGCTGTTTTTTACACTACAGTAGAACCCCTCATATCCGGCCACCACGGGACCAAGCCCCTGACCGGATAACGATTTGGCCGGATAAACCAACCTACTATGAAAATGACAATTCATACCTAATAATATTAGGTAATCAATATATGCAATCAAAAGTATCATTTAATTCTGTTCTGGGATCATTTTTAGAAAAATAAACATGTTTGTAAAAAGGAAAAAAAATATTTGTAGGTTAAAGTCATTAAGTAATGAATGTACAAATATTATGATTCCAGGTAACAAAACATATTAAATGGAGGTAAAAATGACAATAAATTGTACTTAAAGATCATTAGGACTTAAATGGTACTTGCATTTCTACTCAACATTCTTAACCATTTTGTGAAATACAAAAAATTAATATACTCTTATTGTACTGTACTAAACCCACTTTGGAAATAATCAACCAACTGATCACACAGTCTAATATAAATAAAGTAATTTTATTTTTATTGTTAGACTGTGCTGATCAGAGGTTAGGCCTACTAGAGCTCAACTGAGTATAGTGACTTAGCAAATAAATATATAAACAAACAGATAAATAAATAGTGAGAACAATTTATTTTATGACTTGAGCAGTCACAAAGACTAGTGCTTGCATCTAAACATCTGTAAGCTGTGAGAAAAAATTTTTGATATTGGCTTCCTGGAAGGGGCCGGATAAACAGAGGACCGGTAAAACCAAGGCCGGATATGAGGGGTAGAACCCCTCGGTTCTACTGTATAGGCTATGAATTACTGTCATCTTAAGTTCTACTTAACTGTTTACACAAAGTATATTTTTTTAGCGAATTTCCCTATAGGGAAGTAGCTATTACCGTAGGTGGCACGGTAAGACCTAGACCCGGGACCGATTTACTTTTTCATTTTGATGTCCCCAGAGGCCAAAAACACCATTCGTTCAAATTTTTATATATGTATATATATATATATATATATATATATAGATTTATATATATATACGTCCGTGAACGCGATAACTTGAGTAATTTTGGTCCGATTTTGATGAAATTTGGTTTAAAGGTGTAGAGCGGGATAAACTTGAATGAGTTCGCGAACCAGCATGATCGGACCATGGGAACGGAGCTTTACGAGGGGTTTTATGGGGTAAAAATTGGTTTTTCTCATTTTTGACCCTCAAAACACAAAATTTCCCAATTTCTCTTTAGACCTTTTTAAAGAGCTTAAAAAAACAAATAATTTCGTATATTAAAGTATTTTTGTTCGGTTATTAGTAACGGAGAAAATTTAAAAAATTGTAAATTTAAAATTCCCATGTTATTCTTATGGAGAATATTGTCAAATGTTTAGTTTGCTTGTTTATGGATTTATTTTGATCAAACTTGGCAAATTTATTTATTTTGTACTAAGCTATCAATATTTTACTAAAAAAAAACATACTTTATTACTTTCCTTGTAGCAGCAAACCTAGGTACTCGTTAAACCTAATGTTATTAAAATATATTTAACTGAAATTCAATTCAGACAAATGGAAATTCGCTTAGTCGGCAGGTTTGCTGCGGCGGGGGTATTTTTAAATAACCTTCAGTTGTTTGTTTCTTGAACTGTAGCCTTATCATAGCATGAGATTTGTGTCGTCTACTCCTGTAATTACATTTCATAGGGCAAGCCAGGCCAACTGGGGTGTATCACAAGACAAATACCATTGCCTAGCCTATTTTCCAATTTATTTGAATTTTTTATTATGGTTTCGGTTCAGCAGGGTGCGGTTATAAGGGGTTTTACAGTTTTGCTATGTGACAATGCTCAATTTTTATTGCAGAGAGCTATAAAAAATATATATGTTGTAGATTAAATTTTACAGAGAAAATGTTAATAAACTGTACTTGTTACTCTTTAAAAAGAAAAATAGTAAACAAAACTGTTGCAGTTTATTGATTTGTTTATAGCCATATTTTGGTCAAATTTGACAATTGATCAAATTCATACTATAGGCCTACTAATAACATTTTACTAACAAAACACTCTTTCCTTCCCTGTAGCAGCAAACCTAAGTGTTAAACCTTAAGTCACTTGTTAAACCTAATGTTTGGATAGTGATCTGGCATTTTAAGGAAATATTTTAGTAGCCTATAAATACTATCAAAATGAACATTTGCTTAGTCTACAGGTTTGCTGCTGCTGCAGGGGTATTTGGATTTTTGTTTCCTTATGAGTGAAAACATAAGAAGAATTTTAATTAAAAATCTGCCTTTGAACTTTTGATATTCAAATCGAGTGTTGTTTGGCAGCTGAGAGAGCTTCATCTCGGCACTCAGTTTCCGAACATAATAGACATAGAAGTGAAGAAGTTCAACGTCAGCCCCAGCTGTGGCTTGATAGACGACCTGGAATTGTGTCTACAGCTGGAATATTGTGGCGGCTTTCAACTCACCATCGACGCTAACATGCGACTCAACAAGACCGCTCGAGTGTCTGTCAAAGGTAGGTCCAGTGGAGTGGAGTATACAACGATCCACGTAGAGTAAATGTTTAACTTCCATGTTGTTTAAGATCAGTGCATGGATCAGTAATATTATAATGCAATGACAATATTATTTTTCTAAAGTTTAATTTATGGTTGAACATAATGATTCAATTTTAATTTTTAAAAATAAAACCTCATCCGATGTATCCAATCTACCGGTTCACCGATATGAAACGAGAAAAAAAAATCAGATTTTGCAAAATAGGCACAGATTAAAGTTTTATGAAAAAAAGCCATCATTTGCTGGTAAAAGTTTTTTTAAACATATCCCCGGAGGAATTAGAAATGAAACAGATCCAAAAAAGTTTAAAACAAAACTAAAAAATTTCTTAATAAACATGGCAATTTATTCTCAAAAGAATTTTTCCACCTCCCTCAAGAATACTAGAAGAAGGCATCTGTATGGGGAGATGTATTTTTTAGTTTAAGATTTATTTTTAATTTGTATTTTATATTTTAATAATTGTAATCTTTGACACTATTCAAATGCTGTATTATGTATACTTCTCAATGAATAAAGAAATTTAAAATTGAAAAATTGAAATTAATATGGTCCAATTTTGCATATTTATTTGGGAAATGTTAATGTTTGTTTCAGGTTCTTATCTAGATTAATTATTTTAATAATGGACAAATGTATTCAAAACTTTGTCTACATGGCAGTTGCCTTGACAAATACTCAGTCCAAACTGGATCAACTACTTGCACGAAGGCAAATAGTTAGCGTTATCTAATTTTCCAATTGATTTGGTAATTTTAATTCCCTAGGTTTCATTTAACAGGGTGCGGTTAAACAAAGGTTTTACTCAAAGTGCTCATGGATAATCAGAAGCAGCGGCACGTGGCAGTTTCGAATCACCCAGATTTTAACTACGTGGCAACGCTTCCATGATAAACTACAGTATGGACCTCACCCTCAGTGATTTCTTTTTGTTTCACCTCATGAGGAAGGACTTAAAAGGGAAGGGGAGTTCACCGTTGTATCAATTCAAACGGCTTCAACGAATATTCTGAACAGACTTCCGACAGGGAAATTCGCTGGCAGCGCTTTGTCGACTCAGAAGGAAACTATTTCAAAGATTTTTAGTCTGCTATACATAAATGTTCAATACATTTCTTTACCTGAGACCAGTCTTGAAACTTACACCTGTTGTAGCTCCGAAAGTTATATATTTTTTATGTGTTTATTTGTGTACTTTCATCCATTTTTTTTTTGTTAGCAAGGTAAGCCTGTTAACACTTTTGTGTAACTTTGTCTTTTTAAAGTTTTAAAACTGTATGTTCCATAGTTACGTTAAAAAAATTCAATTAGTATTATCAACAAGCAACCGTACATCACAATATTAAGTATTAACAAAAACTAAACGCAAAATTAGCAACACTCACATCTATCAACAGCACTGCTAGATAGTAGAAACAAATGGCCATAGCATAATTTTGGTGACGCCTATTCGCATAACACACAGTAATTATCTGGGGTTGCAGTAAACCAGCTGAAAGGCCTGGGCTGCTTGAGGTTCACAAGACATCCGTACACACATTGGTCATTCAGCTTCTACTCCGACCCTCAGCTCCAACTCACCGTAGAGTCACAGTTCCAGGGACGCACACTTCCCCAGATAAACTCCATCATAGCCAGCCAGGTGAGCAGCCAAAGGGTGTTTGCTCAGAAAATTAATTAAAAAAAATGTATTTCCATTGGATTAAGTATTAAATTAAAAATGAGGGAATCTATGAGTTAATGCAACTGCTGTTTTGTTATTGGTGTAACTGGTTTTGGGGTTACCACTTTTGTCTCACTGTGGTTTTGTTAGTGGCAATGGTAGCAAGTAACGATCATTAACACATGCTAATTTTAATAGTTTTTAGCCCAATATATACTTAGATTTGTTAAAATAGCAGAGATGATTGTTAGTGGTATAAACATTTTACTTATTAAATAGAAAACAACAGTATACTGTGTTTATGTTTTGATTAGGGGCGTAGACAAATATACTTGAGATTGATTTTCTTCCATTTTCAGATCAGAAAAGCTTTGAAGAGAAAGCACACGCTGCCCAACTTCAAACTTCGTTATAAACCATTTTTCCACAAGAGTGACCCAGGAGTTGTGGCGGATGAAGGGTCTTCAGAGGTAAAATAAACAATATACAACAATATAGTAAAACCTTTTTACTACATAATTTGCATCAGTAAGCTGGTCAATGATTTGTTGGTATTAAGAGGGTTCTACACGGTCAATTCAAGATGGCGGCTAAACATGTTAATGTTTCTAAACATCCCTCTACGGTACAAGCTCTCAACACTCTAACTAATTTGTTTCCAATGATTGTGTGCATTTTTTGCTCTTAACATATCAGAGCTTGCAACGGATGGGGATAAATTAATGTTTAACTATTATTTATAAGCTAAAATCACATGTGAAAAGCCTAATTTACAGGTTTTCAAAATTATTTTGTTAATACTTAAAGAAACAATACAAAGCTTCAGTTCATCCAGGGTATAGTTTGGATCTTTGTGAATATTTTACATTTTATTTTAACTCGATAAACACTTTAATAATGCCACTAGGTTCTTTTTTGTAGAACCATTTTTACGTGGTAACCAGACGGCAGGTGGAACCCTCATAAAAATCACAATGTGGCAACTAGTTAAACAGCTTTACTGATGCATTTGGGATACCGTATGTGATTCTTTGGTTCTTGAAACAAGTTTGATTCAATATCCTATTATTCAAGGGTTAAACAACAATTTTCTACAACATTTGGTATACTGTATTTTTATGTTTATTACATCAATATAGCTTTTTTTGTCTTTCAATTTAGAAATGCTCGCATGTGGTTGAATGTTTGAAATAACACTAAATATGAAGTCAAAACAAACTCCAACCATGAACAGATGTTTTGCAGATTGTCTCCTTGTTTTCATGTTTGTGTTGTACAGATGGCAGTGACGGGATCTCTGGACGTGTCTGTGCTGCAAGTATCAAGAATCTCAGACACCCCAGGTCCGGTCTATTGTAGCCTCGCTGTTGGTAAGTCGTTTAATAACTAATAGTGTTTATTCAATCGCATTACATCTTACAGATGGGTAACTGATTGGTTATTGTAAAGCAGTTTTAGTGAAATGTTACAAATAATTTTATATGTATATCACAAGTTTACAGATGGGTTAGTACTTTAAAAGACCACCAAACAGTTAACACTTTATTGTTTCATATAGATGATAAAGGGGATATTACATCTGTTGCTTGGCTGGAATGTTATGTAAATCATCCCAAATGACCCGGAAATGCAAATGTTTAAAATTTAAATCCTTCAGATGTGGTAATAAATTTATCTTCTTTCTTTAGATATATATGTATGACTAAATTGCTACCTCGCACGTATATTACTAGGGATGGTTGCTTCTCGATATCACCGATACATGGACATTGGTATCAGTAGGTTATCGAGAATCAATCAATATAAACAGAAACATTTTATAATTTACAAAAGTTTTTTTTTACCATAAACATTTAGTTGCTAAAATAATAATAACCCTACAATTTAAAAATATAGATTAAAACTAAATTGAGACAAAAGTATTAAAAATGCCAGTTTAATGCTTCAGATTCGGACGATGATACTCTGAGAACTCCACCAAACACTCCAGCACTAAGGAAAAGTCTAAACAAGGGATTGCCTGCAGCAAGTGTATCAGCAGCTGATGGATCAGGACAGAGAGATCCTGAAGAGGGTGGCATTAAGAGAAGTGGATATGGGCCTTTGACAGGACTTGATCGGCCTCGTATTAATCTAAGTCAGCTCTACGAGTTACACAAATCCAAGTTTGAGAAGCTAAGCCCAAATGTACTGAGGAATTTGATAATAGGAGGCGGAAGGTTAAGCAAAGAAATAATCCTGGCAAGAGGACAGAGGATTAAATGGCTTACATTTTTGGACTTTGCGCTTAACATTAGCTTGGAAGAAGGGGATATCAACAATAATGATCTGACAAAAGAAAGGTTCTATGCCTGCCTGCATAGACACGTCTACCTGAAGAAGTTGGCCAATGATTCAGACGATTTCCCAAATTCACCACTGATACACAATCTTGATATTGGGGATTCTATCTTGGCACACTACAAACATCTACTAGGGTTAGGCTTTCAATTTCAATGGTCTATTTTCATGCCTGAGCTCCCAGAAGGAGGTAGAGATTACTCACACTTTTATGTGTATTTGTTAGGTTGTAAGGCTCTAGATTATTTGGCTTACGTGGACTTATCAATCAAAAAAGGGTTTATCTGTTATGTCAGTTTCATTGAGTTCCTGAAAAATCCGGGACCTAGAGGGGGGAAAGTTGCTAATGCAGCTATTAGGAACATGGGAAAAGAGTATCAAAATGCTCTAAAGGTTCAAAAAGAGGCAATGAGATTACTTGCAGATGAGTCAGCACGTCTGAATTTTGATCGTCTTGGTATTAATAAAAAGATAAAAGAAGAATGTTTTGAAAGGCTTATACCAATTTTATGCAAACGGAATACTATATAGTTCATTCATTGAATACAGTTTACAGGTACATTGAACATTTCCTGATCTATTTATGTAAGTTTTATATGAAACAATAAGTAAAAATATTACATTACATAGGTACAACAGACATTCTAAACAAATACAATGACAATGAAGTATAAAATAAGAGAACTAATTTAAATAAAAGATCCAAAAGCCCTTCAAGCCTTAAAGACCATAAGGGTTTAAGGTTAACTCTAGGTAAAAAATGGTGTTATGCTTTATAATGCTTTAGTTTAGTTATTATAAAATATTTAAGTTTTTTTTTTTTTTAATTTTGTTAACTAAGCTCCTGTCTTAAGGTTTGTGGTATTGCTGAATAAAATATTGAGCCAGCATAGGTTTCTTTTTATTTACAGTCCTAGAGCACAAAGTTTTAATATATTTTATGTCTCCCTGCTTTTTTTATACTTCAAAATTGAATACAGTTGAATTGAGTTATTTAGGCTTGGGAAACGATATAAGAAAAAATTTAGTTTTGTGTGTTTTACTATTTTCCTGGTTTTTGAGAATTTGTAGGTTATCAGAAGAAGTTTTCCAGACTTGGTTTTCAAAGTTAATGAAGATGGTTTTAGCGAATTTCCCATACAGGGAATAAGCTGTTACCATAGGTCTCTTGGTAAGTTTCTTAATAAGTATCTTTTTTGTTTTGATGTCACAGGTGTCAAAAACACTTCCTGTTCAAAATCCACAATATATACGTGTTTTTTTAACAACTCAAATATTACAAGTACTGTGAGGAACTGATTAACGACAAAACAAGCTTTTATGTTGGTATCCCTGTTTTCTTTAATTCATTGCCGATCAGCTGATAAAAACATTGTTGAATAATTAATTATCCATGAGGTTTAGTGTTTAATTCATATTTTTTTTTTATAAAACAACATGGTGTTTATATAAGTTCAAATATAGTTTACTGTATATTGTATAGGTCTAGGTTTTTTTTTTGTTTACTACAGATCCGCTTTCCTTAAATTTGTACATGTCAATAAAAGTTTATTTTAAATTCATTGTTGTAGCCCCGGAACTTTAAATATAATATTTTTGGTCTTAAATTACCTTTTATCAGTTCAAAACTGATCAGTTTTGGAACTGATAAAAGGTAATGTAAAACCCAATATGTTAATAGTTGATTTATTAGGTACTGGAATTTCACCTGGAAACTTGATTTCAAACCTTTCTTGGCATAAAAGCAGTGATTCACTTTTAACGTATTCTTCAATTTCTTCAAGCTTGGGAAAATACAATGTCGAGTCTTATTTACAATAAATTCCCAATAACACTAAAGCTCATAGATAACTATGCAACAATACATATCAGCTGATCGGCAATGATTTTAAAGGTGTTAGTCACCGTCGCTTGAAAGAAATGTATTGTGTTAAACATTGTAGATTCTCAATTTATTTTGCCGTTTTAAGCCCCTAGTTATAGTATATTTTTTTAATTTTTAATTCTTTCCTTAATGCCACCCCAGTAATGTAAGAGGAACGTAAGTGGAACCTTTTGCACTGCACAAATCAAACAGCAAAAATATAGGTTCAAGAAAATAAAAGGAGCTGCTATATACAGGGTGGGGCAGCATAACTTCCTTTTTTCAAAGTTTAATAAAACGCATTGTATGAGTCAGACAAACTTTATTTGGTTTTTATAATGTAAGTACATTTCTAAAGTTTTGTTTTACGTAGATTTGAAGAGTAAATCATGCAGATGACGTCCCTCAGTCTAGATACATTGAGTATACTGATTTCTGGTGTTTGTCATTACCCTTTCAAGCATAGCAGGCATTATGTTGGCAATTTCTCCCTGGATCTTGTTTTTTTTTTTATCTTGAAGGGTCCTTGGACGGTTCACATAAACCTGGGACTTCAAAAAATCCCATAGAAAAAATCCCAAGGGGATAAATCGGGAGATTGATCCGGCCATTGCAAATCACCCCTGAAATAAGGCGTTTTGACAAGTTCCTGCACAATCGTCATTTTGTATGGATGGAAATATAGGTCATCATGGAAAATTCTCATTACAGAACGATTGAAATGTCCAAGGGCAGAGAACCACATAACAATTGATATCCGGGCCGGGATGAGGCCAACGGGGCTAAATTAAACCGATTTCCGAAGGGTGCACTGCACTGGGCTGCGATCATTGAACATCCACTGGAAAAGTAGGCGTCAACAGCAAACGCACGCTCTTCCCTGTTCCAACTCACAATGGCGACTAAACTGTTCAAGGACAAAACTTTATAGCCTCACCTCTCGAATAAGACTGCTAGCTCTTCGCTATGACATGAACAAACAAAATGGGTCACATTTAAAAAAAGGAAGTTATGCTGCCCCACCCTGTATTAACAAAGAATTAATTACCGGCACTTGTTTGTTTTAAATATTTAAGATCAAGAAGTTTTTTTTAAATACTGTATAAAATGCAAATCTACAATTATTTGTGCATATATAGTACTGTACACAGTGTGATTGTAAAGTCCCGGAACGATGTAATATATTTTATATTATAATAGACAAAGAAATGAAAATTGATAAAATAATTATAGCCATAAATGTCTATTCTTTTAAGTTATTATTGCTTTTTTATCCCTTAGCCCCCTACGTACAAGTCGCACAGCCCACGAGGAGTCAGACAAAATTCTTAAATAGTAGCATAGGTCGAGTTAGGTATTAAATTAAAGGTCTTAATTAGTTTGACACAAACACAAACTCAAACGGACAATGGAGTCAAAAATTATTCAAATTGTTCAAAGATTCCTTGAATTTGCAATGCTTACCCTACTGTGGGACGCCCGCTACTAGTCGGAAGAAAATCATAAACGTAAGCATAGGTCAATGTCACATTAAAGGTCTTTATTATAGAATACAATGCCGCAAATTTGAGCTTAAAAAAACAGCTGTGAAACAAATGGCAGCCGTTCTAAGATTGCGTTTTAAATCAATATTTGAACGGCTGCCATTTTTGACTTGATTGTCCGTTTGAGTTCGGTTTGCGGCATTGTTACTAAATAAGACCGAACTTGACCTATGCTGCTATTTGATCATCTTAACTTACTCCTCATAAGACCGGGCATCCCCTTAAGAGGTAAAAATGTAAATGTAATGAATTATAAAAATGTAATATTAGCTTGAAAGAGTAGACGTTTATCATGGTTATTAATGATGTACCAAGTTTTATTACTTTACCTATAAAGGTAGTAGTATATTACGTTACTAGTCCTGAAGATAGATGTTTACCGGGCGAGTCCGGAAAACACATTTTGGACGAGTGATGTACAATATTGTACGCCATACTACTAAATCCGTACAAATCCTTATATATTACCACAGACTAAAGGACTAACAATCACTAGTCATAACCTTTAAGAGAGGTTATGTTTTTTTTGTAAACTAGCCACTCTCACTCATTGCCAAATACAGTATATAATCTTCAGCTGGTTGGTGTCCGGATAATACTCCTTACAGTACACCAGTAAATAATGAAACCCCATTTGATTAAGCTGACGGCAAACAGCTGTTTTCTGGACTAAATCCTTGTGTGGGAAGTTTAAAGAACAGTGTAATGTGGCGTAAAAAATGTATTACACTGTTCTGGGACCTTTCAAAAACACAGTATATTCTATTGCATTGGTAGTTTGTGTTAAACTTCAACTGCCTACACCACTCTTCTTTTGTTAATGTTTTATATTCATGTGTAGCTGAAGACTCTACGTCCGACATGCACAACATAATCTCAATAACTAACAGGCTAACATTTGATTTATTTCATTTTATTTATTTACGACAAAAACTATTGTCCAATAAATACCATACATACAAAACTGCAAAGCTATACAATCGGTAAAAGTACATGCTCACACAAGAATCAATAAGCGTTTGAAATATGATAAATAAGAAGTCATAATAAATAGCACATGCATATAGCAAGTAACAAATAAATAAAAAAACCAAAACAACAATTACTGAGCAAGGAATGGTGGTTTTAAATAAGAGCAAAAGTAACATTTGGGAGATAAACAAGCAATAATATATACTAAATGCAATAAAGTAAACAAAGATGAGCAGTTAGCATGCAAAAGACATACAACTGATATAAGACCTACAACTAAAATGAGACAAGATGCATAGGAATAAAACTATTACTAAACAGTGCATACAATAGTAAGTAGCAAGTAGACTCTGAACAAAAATAAGCTAGCAGTAAAAGAAGTCATGCACGAGGATGTACAGGTAACCTGCAAAAGGCATAAAACTGATATAAGACACAAGATGCATACAAATCTTTATAACAATATTAATAAATTGTGCATACAATAGTGAGTAAAAATCGGGCTATGAAGAAATAAAAAAAAGCTAGCATTACAAGAAAATTTACAGGTGGTTAACGTGCAAAGACTGATATAAGACACAAGATGCATACGAAACATAATCAACAAGACATAATAATAATATTAATAAATGGTGCATGACTATACACAAGAACACAATCATCACAAGAACAGAATCAACATGAACGAGAGAATGAGTAATTTAATCAAGCTTGATCATAAAAAAAACGCAAGGTGCAATACTACTTCATCGACTCACTGCATGTGACGTTCCAAATACTCAAAAATGCATTTCTTCTGAAGACAGCATGACCAACTTCAAAGAACTCCAGGTGGGCATTGTTTCCGAGACGCATTAGACGAGGTACAGGACTCTGGTACATGTAGGAGGTAGGGTAGTGCAGCTTGGCAAAGATGTGCTGTAGCCACGTTCTCTGAGGAATTTGAAAGTTCAACATTTGCAGAATCTCGGGGCAGTCCACCAGGTAATTGCCAACTGTGTAAAGGATAATCAGGTCCAATGCAGTTTGTCTCGATAAAAGTGGCAGCAACTGTAGTTGAACTGCAACCTGATAAGTATTTACATCTGTATAGCGAATCCCTGCTCGAACACCAACCAGCCGAAGGAAGCACTTTTGGACCATTTCCAAGGAACTAAAATGGCCAATTTGGAACAGAGACCATACACAGAGGGAACAGAGAGCAGTACTCGAGAATTGGTCTCACCAAGGATACATACAAGATCAAAGTATTGGTGGAGAAAGCACCACTCCTTGTGATACGGGCAATTAAACCCAGTACAGAATTGGCCTTACATATTCTCTGTATGTGTTCGCCTGGGTCCAAAGTAGAGGCTATGAACACTCCAAGATCTCTAGCCCCATTTACTCTTTTTAGCTGAGTGCCTAGAATTGTGTTGTCGTAGACATCAAGCAAGTTCTGAGTTCTTCCAAATAACATAACTACACACTTTCCAGCATTAAGCTCCATCAAGTTTTTGGTGCACCACATGACAAAGGTATTAAGAGCTATGCTTCCTATCAATATGACCTGCAATAAGCATTTTATTGTAGCTTGGAGTTCATGTTGATGTTGCAGAGAAGATTGTAGATCTTGATATCGTCTGCGAATAAGAGATACTCGCAGATCAACGAGTTACCAACATCATCAACAAACATACTGAATAAGAATGGTCCCAAGTGTGAACCCTGTGGCACACCAGAAGTCACCCAAATTGGTTTGGAGATGTTGGATGAAAGTTTGAGTAGAAAATAATTTATAAATATATAGATAGAATAAATACTTGTAAGATTTAAAACAAAAAACATGGAGCGCATGCAATAGATAAAATAATAAAGAGGGGGTAGCTGTCGATAAGAAACAAATCAATTGATCAATAAGTTATTTGTTTGTACATCCTGTTTGTATGATTTACATCTATATTTCCTAATTGAGGTTAAAATAGCTGAGTAATCTATTCAATAGGTGAAGAAATTTTTTAATTAGCTATTGGATGCACCCCACGTTATTTGTTTTAAATCTTACAAGTATTTATTCTATATAAGTATTTATAAATTTTTTTCTACTTTTCAGTAAGTTTAAAAACAAGGTATTTTTAAAATCTTTTTTTTATTTCTAAAATGGATTGTAAGAATCACTGTTATTGCAAGTTTGAATCCTAAAAAAACAGTTTACAAATCCAGAGGCTATTTCAGTATACCTTGATAACAAGTCTCTTTATTGAGGTTTTCAATATAGTGTGATTAGGACGATTGGGTATTTCATCTTTTATTTGATTTTTTGTTAGGGTAATCAACGTACGGGTATTTAAAAATGACACTTGTTATCAAGAGTGGCATGTTATCGAGGGTATTGTTAATGAGGTTCCACTGAATACCACTATTGACTGCCCTGTTACGTCCACAGACAGTATGGCTTGGGTGGAGATGGTCCATTCAGACTCGGGTAGTTACCTCACAGTGGATGTTAGCGTGCTCAAACAAGCCGGCTCGCTGGGTGTGCACTTCAAACAGGAGTTTGTGGCGGACAAATACCAGGTAAAGGAGTACTGTACAGAGTGACACTTGGAAGACGGACGGTTTTCATCTGCGTAGTACTGAGAGTGCGGTGGTGGGAAGTGGTCGTTCACCACTTCTCACAAGACTGTCATAGACAAACAAGTTGCAAGTCCCACTGTTCCATAGTGACTGAGTAAATGAAATAGTGCCTTGTGTAGAGCAGAACCATGCCCACCACAACCACCTCCCACCACCGCACTCTTAGCCTCCCACCACTACTGCACTCTTAGTACTACGCAGATCAAAACCATCCGTCTCCCATGTGTCACCCTGTATAATAAACACTGTATTTAGTTAGATTTGTAGTTAAGCGTTTTTTAGTTGTATTGACAGGTTAAAAAATATGAATATGCCCTTATTATGTGTCACATTATGCTATTTTTTTACTTTATTTCTTGGCGGATGGAAAGCAATTATACATTTGCTCTGAACAGATGCTAAACATAAGCTTTTATGGAGGGTTTGTTAAAATACATATTCTTTCTCTCTGAATCTGTAACTCTGATCATTGTAGGTGTGTTTCGTGGTTGAGTCAGTTGCTCCGTACGTGGTGGCGGAGGTAAGAGCGGGTGACATCCTGGTGGCAGTGGATGGCAAGAAGGCTGTCTCCTTGCCTCAGATCAGCAAGGTGATCAAGCAGGCAGGGGATCGGGTCGGGCTGCGACTGGAGCGACGACTCAAGATTCTCACCACCACTCCCCCTCCGGATGATAAGGTGCGGCACATGTAGTGGCGATTTTTTATCTCAATCATAGCTACGAGCTTGTGCTCATTTTTCAGTTTCTTTGGTGGAAAGGGAATATACTGTATGGTATTCCCAAGATTCTTCCTAATTGTAACATTTACTCTTAAAAGGCACTAAGCTCAAATGGATTCAATTTCTTTAACAGCATCCAATTAACTGTGTATGTTGTAACAGACGTTGGAGATCTCCGGACTGAGACATCGTAGAGGTTCTGGCGACAAAACCGACAGTGACAGTAGTAACTCAGCCTCTCTCTCAGGTAAACATGAATTGAACACATTTAAGTACTGTTATTTTATCACATTCAAACTGGGCTTTGTTCTTGATTTATATAACTTTTTTAGTAAATGAGGAGTTATTGAGTGTCTGCCAAGTATTTATATCATTGTATTAAAGGTTTGAATGGGAAAATGTTATCAATAAGATGATTATCTATTTTAGATTTTTTCAATTACACAGTATGCGTTTGCTGTAGATTCTCCAGCCAAGAAAACTCTGAAGGAGAGCCCAGATCACAAGGTGATCCACAGAATGTCGTTTGGTTGTGAGACGGAGCAGCAGCAGCTACAAGTGTTGACAACGCGGGACCAGCCTTACGCTCAGGTAACAGAGACTTGTTGGTGTTGTAATTGGAGGAAAGTTGATCTTAGATAAAATGATCACAAAGAAACATTGACGTATGTAAGATAGATAAATTTCAGTTTAACAAAAGTTTCATGTTTTAATTTAACTTAATACTTTGACATTGTGCATCATGTTCTGTCCCTGATATCCGGCCAAACTGTTCACTCCTTCCCAATGTATGAGGGATGTCCTCCAAGCTCTTGTCGTGGACAAGCTAGCTAGTTAAAACCTTCACTGTGTTAAACTTTATCAACTAAAATTCTTGTTGGTTCCCACCCTTCTGCGATGATTAGTCTTCTTACAGCAGACAAAAAAATTTTTTTTTAAATCCACGCTCCTGCCAAGTATAGATCGGGTCAATTAAGCACGGGTCACATTAGGCTGGCATCAGCGGTGAATTGAAAGAAGCCGCTACTGTCAGCGTAATGTGACCACAAATTTCGCAGCTGACACAGCCTTCTTGGTGATGCTGGTGCCAGCTGCTGATCACCAGCAGCTGGCGAGCAGCCTAGTGTGACCCGTGCCTTAGAGTGGTGATCATTATGGGAATGTGCATGAAAACCCTTCAACTACCAACATCACTTTGGCTATTTTGTACAATCAGCCTGACAATTAATTACTGTTGGATTCATTTAATACCACTAGTGTCCAGTGTCGACACTCTCAGTGTGGTTGAAATCTTTTCCTTGTACCTCCTACGGCTGTTCAAATTGACACAATATTGTCAATACACAAATACCATTCAGTGATTAAATTTCTGTGGTCTAAGGCATCAGTCGCTATTAAAATCCATGTGATGACGGACGTGGATAAAGTAATATTTATACAAAGAAAATGTGTGTCAGGGGTATAGGCAGTTCATTGGTTGTAAACATTTGTCTCGATTTGTAGCTTCCTTAAAACTCTGACTGGAGCTCATTGGATACTCTTTACAGGCAACCCATATATGTTTACGTTTCAGCAATTTAACACGTTGTATGTGGCTGTTCTCAATTGGGTATGGTGCTCGGCGCCCGTAGGGTGCGTCCGTATCCGATCGGGAACCCTTGGCAATGCCTTTTGTTTATCTTTTTTTTTGCTCTATTGCGGTTGAAGGCAGAACTATACCACGTTAGCGTGTAGTGTGTGACTTGCTTTTCGTTGTGGTGTAGGTTGGTAGTAAATTTCCCTGTAAAATCCCCGTCAGGCAAGCTTAAAAGTCAACTTGTTGTCCCGTCTTTCTACCTCCAATTGGCAATACAATGGGACCAGCTACGTTCCAAGCAGTGCTTCTAAGTGTGGGTGTTCTAGCAAACTACGACAACTCTCGTCGTTCAACACTGCAGGCTACGCTGCACTGGGGCTTCCTACATCTGCCATTTGATGGGCCGCAGCGAACATGTTAATATAATGTTCCCCCATGACCAAAGACAGAAATGCAAAATTTTAACTGTTCAAGTATTAGTTCAAATAAAATAAACCAATGTTGTTTCTATCACTTATTTTACTCACCTTAAAGGACGGAATATATAATTTTTGCAGGCCATAGACTCAAGTTTAATATCCTACCTGAGTTCCTCAACCTGAGTGTGTGGAGCAGGAGTCCCAGTGGTGGTAGTTGTGACAAGAACAGTCTCCTAGGTCATGTCAGTCTGCCTCTGTCTACACTGGGTCATGTTGCAGGTCATCACATTCAGTGAAACACTCAAGTTTAATATCCTACCTGAGCCCAAGTTCCTCAACCTGAGTGGGTGGAGCAGGAGTCCCAGTGGTGGTAGTTGTGACAAGAACAGTCTCCTAGGTCATGTCAGTCTGCCTCTGTCTACACTAGGTCATGTTGCAGGTCATCACATTCAGTGAAACACTCAAGTTTAATATCCTACCTGAGCCCAAGTTCCTCAACCTGAGTGTGTGGAGCACGAGTCCCAGTGGTGGTAGTTGTGACAAGAACAGTCTCCTAGGTCATGTCAGTCTGCCTCTGTCTACACTGGGTCATGTTGCAGGTCATCACATTCAGTGAAACACTCAAGTTCAATATCCTACCTGAGCACAAGTTCCTCAACCTGAGTGTGTGGAGCAGGAGTCCCAGTGGTGGTAGTTGTGACAAGAACAGTCTCCTAGGTCATGTTAGTCTGCCTCTGTCTAAAATAGGTCATGTTGCAGGTCATCACATTCAGTGAAACATTCAAGTTTAATATCCTACCTGAGCACAAGTTCCTCAACCTGAGTGTGTGGAGCAGGAGTCCCAGTGGTGGTAGTTGTGACAAGAACAGTCTCCTAGGTCATGTTAGTCTGCCTCTGTCTACTCTATGTGTGTCTAAACTAGGTCATGTTGCAGGTCATCACATTCAGTGAAACACTCAAGTTTAATATCCTACCTGAGCACAAGTTCCTCAACCTGAGTGTGTGGAGCAGGAGTCCCAGTGGTGGTAGTTGTGACAAGAACAGTCTCCTAGGTCATGTCAGTCTGCCTCTGTCTACACTGGGTCATGTTGCATTTCATCACATTCAGTGAAACAATCAAGTTTAATATCCTACCTGAGCACAAGTTCCTCAACCTGAGTGTGTGGAGCACGAGTCCCAGTGGTGGTAGTTGTGACAAGAACAGTCTCCTAGGTCATGTCAGTCTGCCTCTGTCTACACTGGGTCATGTTGCAGGTCATCACATTCAGTGAAACACTCAAGTTTAATATCCTACCTGAGCCCAAGTTCCTCAACCTGAGTGTGTGGAGCAGGAGTCCCAGTGGTGGTAGTTGTGACAAGAACAGTCTCCTAGGTCATGTTAGTCTGCCTCTGTCTACACTGGGTCATGTTGCAGGTCATCACATTCAGTGAAACACTCAAGTTTAATATCCTACCTGAGCCCAAGTTCCTCAACCTGAGTGGGTGGAGCAGGAGTCCCAGTGGTGGTAGTTGTGACAAGAACAGTCTCCTAGGTCATGTTAGTCTGCCTCTGTGTACACTGGGTCATGTTGCAGGTCATCACATTCAGTGAAACATTCAAGTTTAATATCCTACCTGAGCACAAGTTCCTCAACCTGAGTGTGTGGAGCAGTAGTCCCAGTGGTGGTAGTTGTGACAAGAACAGTCTCCTAGGTCATGTCAGTCTGCCTCTGTCTACACTGGGTCATGTTGCAGGTCATCACATTCAGTGAAACATTCAAGTTTAATATCCTACCTGAGCACAAGTTCCTCAACCTGAGTGTGTGGAGCAGGAGTCCCAGTGATGGTAGTTGTGACAAGAACAGTCTCCTAGGTCATGTTAGTCTGCCTCTGTCTACTCTATGTGTGTCTAAACTAGGTCATGTTGCAGGTTATCACATTCAGTGAAACACTCAAGTTTAATATCCTACCTGAGCACAAGTTCCTCAACCTGCTTGTGTGGAGCAGGAGTCCCAGTGGTGGTAGTTGTGACAAGAACAGTGTCCTAGGTCATGTCAGTCTGCCTCTGTCTACACTGGGTCATGTTGCAGGTCATCACATTCAGTGAAACATTCAAGTTTAATATCCTACCTGAGCACATTTTCCTCAACCTGAGTGGGTGGAGCAGGAGTCCCAGTGGTGGTAGTTGTGACAAGAACAGTCTCCTAGGTCATGTTAGTCTGCCTCTGTCTACTCTATGTGTGTCTAAACTAGGTCATGTTGCAGGTCATCACATTCAGTGAAACACTCAAGTTTAATATCCTACCTGAGCACAAGTTCCTCAACCTGAGTGTGTGGAGCAGGAGTCCCAGTGGTGGTAGTTGTGACAAGAACAGTCTCCTAGGTCATGTTAGTCTGCCTCTGTCTACTCTATGTGTGTCTAAACTAGGTCATGTTGCAGGTCATCACATTCAGTGAAACACTCAAGTTTAATATCCTACCTGAGCACAAGTTCCTCAACCTGAGTGTGTGGAGCAGGAGTCCCAGTGGTGGTAGTTGTGACAAGAACAGTCTCCTAGGTCATGTCAGTCTGCCTCTGTCTACTCTATGTGTGTCTACACTGGGTCATCATGTAGACACACACTCACTGCTGCCACCGTATCCACACTTGCTCAACAGGTGATTGATGTCACTGTAATTTATGCAGTGTTGTTGGTGAACAATAAGAGAGACCCAGAATATAAGCATTGCCTTATGCTTAAGTATCTAACCAAACTATAGTCACTATATTGTGTGGTTGGACGATGACATTCACAGACAGTTTATGTCAGCAATCCAACTTCACTCTCAAGATATGATTGCATATTGATGTGGTTTAATTTAAGATATAAAATTTAATTTGTGTCATTAAAAAAATAGAAGATTGAAGTATTCAAATTCTATATATTAATAGACAAACATGTTTCTTGAAATTTCAGCTCCTGTGCATCACAGAGAAAATCCATGCATACTGTTAGAAAGATATTTTCATGTTGATGTGCAGAATCCTTTTGTAAATTAAAAAAAGCACAAAAAAATAATTTAAAAATTAATATGGGTCTTATGAGTTGCCATGCTGATGGCGGAATAAAAATGATTACCACATTTTTCTTGATATAGCCTTGTTAGAGGAGGCCATGATTTTTTCTCATGGTATGAGCGATCATGTTCAATCATTATTAATTTGAAAATCAGGCAGATGGTCTTATATTACTAGGAATATAATTTTAATATTTTTTAAATCTTTATTGCAAGTTCATTTACTTCTTTTATTGTCTTGTTTCAGTTCTACCCATCCGCTCTCCTCTCACAACGGGTTTGAGCCGTGTCTGTGCTACGGGGATGTCTTACTGTCTACAAGTTTCACTGCGTCTCATGTTCCTCCCACTTCTGTTCCCACCCTCTTGGTCCCTCCCTCTCCTTCTCCTGCGCTTGTCTCCAACTCACACGACTTTGAGCGCACTCACTTTAACCGTGCGACCCAGTGTGGATTCTGCTTTAAAAAGGTTGGTTTACAATTTAAGACATGTATTTCAAATGAAGCAAATGGCGGGGGTATTTTTATTCAAGTGCAGTATCTTGAAACAATATTTTCCCCCTCAACTCTCTGGATTTCATCCTGCTCGGAAATATAAGTGTTTTTGTCATTTTGCACAGATATGGCTGAAGGATGCATTCCAATGTAAAGGCTGTGCGATGACTTGTCACAAGAAGTGTGTTGTCAAATGTTTGGCTGTGTCGTCGTGTGGACGACGAGCGTCTGCACAACCGGAGATTGTTACTACCTCCGCAGATGACAACGACACTAAACCAGAACAGGTTTTTTATCTCACAGTTCTACTTAGCTCACTGACTTACTAATTTCACTTATTTTTGTGATAGTTGGATTTTTTGGCATAAGTGAATCAGTGTGTTATCGTCCTTTGCTTGGTTAGATTTTATATGTGTAGATTTTTCTTTCTTGATGAATACTCAGTAATTACAATTGCTCAAATCAAGTTTGACCGGATAGTGTGATCTGTTTTGTTTTTCAATTAATGCTGAAATAATATAATTCACTATCGTTTATTTTGGGGTGCTTTCTACATCTTAGTGTTCATATCACAGAATCTTTTCATTTATTAATCTACGAAATGAGTAACACAAACGGTTTATTTAAATAGTGTCCCAGCTATTTTACAGACACAAAAAATGCACTTGATGAACCTATTATTTTGCCTCATATTAGGCTTAATCAGAAATACAGATAAAAACTAGAAACAAAAAGTTAATTGGCTACTCGCTTTTCTTTATTTAATCTGAATGTTAATAATCTGTTAGTAATTTTTATTCCAAGTAAATGTTGGGAAAACAACAATATGAGTAATAAATAAAGTATAGATGAGAGATAAATTAAAGAATTATTTAACATTTATGACTCTCATGTGATATTCATACAAATAACACAAAAATCATGAACTTATTGAAAATTAATCGTAGCTTATTGAACCTAAAATATAATTTGTAATACCTTAGCTTAAATATCTTTAGAGTTTGGTTGACTCCATAAATTACTGTAGGTTTTTTTGTAGTTACAGTCTTTACTATGTGCCTGTGTTAAATTTGCAGAGCTAATTACCCTGTAGGTTGTAGAGCGTGTTTAATGTTCCCTGGAATATATAGTATAGCATGTTTTGGTGGAGTACTTTCTTGTATAGCGTATTGTATGTATTTATACATATGTACATAAGATATGTGGGAATATGGAATATATATTTAAGAAAGGATATAGGTACTTAACTTTTGCATGGTGTTCTGAAATATATTTCATCACATATATATCACATATTCTAAAAAGACTGCAAAAAAATGTTTAAATTGGAATTGTACTTATTTTGTATTCTATTGGGTTTGGTAACATTGTCTTGGCTATTTCAGAACATTTTCATGCAGTCTACAATAGAAAAGGTTCTTTTGTATAATGAGAAAAGATTGAACCTTGATGGCTAGAAGTTGTAATAACAAAACTGGTTATGCGGTGTTTTGAATTATTAGCATTTAATAATAATCAGCACCACTGTCTTTATAACAGTAACAGCTAGTCTTCTTAATTACAAAAGATTAAAAGCATAAACTTGAATTGTGTATAGCATGTTTAAGTCAAATGTGCTCTTAAAGTTTCTGTAAAGATTTCTCTTGGCCATCAAAATTAAAAATTCTGAATTAAGGAACTCCGAACTCATTATTTGCAAGAAACTATTTTACCTAAATTCATTAGCCTGTCAGCAAGATGAAGGATACAGTTTCCTATTAAATTATAAAAAAGTGCAAGGTTGTAGCAGACAAGGCTTTTTTCATCTGTGGTCATAAATTCACCAAAATTTTTAATCAGTCATAAAGCACTTTCATTTATTATAGCATGTAAATTTGAATTGTCCCGTTACATCGTATGGGTTTGCCGTCACGTCTAACCATTTAGCAGCTGGTACGTGAGATGTGTGGGGGTGGGTGTGTTGCAGGTTCGTCGTCTCAGCAGTCTGTTGGCGAGTGTCACCAACAAGGGGCTGAAGAGAGTGAGCTCCGCCAGCAACCTGGCACCCCCCTCCCCATGCGGTGGGTCGGGGGGGTGCGGTGGCTCAGTCAGCCTTCCTCCCTCGCCTCAACACTCTCCTTCCCCCAGCCGTAAGGTGAACCAACCCTTCTTGCTAGTACACTCGCACTCGTACTCGACACTACACAATGTGTAAACCGTCGTGTGTGACAACTGTGGATGTACTTAAACTGCGGAGTGTGTGGTGGAAATGAGAGGGTCCTATGTCAAGTCAAGTCAAGTCAAGTCAAATAAATCTTTATTCAGACATACAACAATGTGTACATGAATGCGAATGCGATGTCTGCTATCATTGCAGAGTTGTAATTATATTATGATAATGACTGAAATAGTGAGCAAAACATATTTTAAGGAAGATGACTTCTTAAATAAGTTATTGCTTTTGAAGGTCATTCAATAATACTTGCTTCCGATTAAAAATTATTAAATATACCACGCAGAGATTTTTAGATCTTTAACTTTAATTTGTCACAATTTGTAAATACTTTTTCATTTGTTTGCTAATTTATTCCCTAATAGCTTTAGTACTAATTTTATTTAATTGGTTATATCCTTATGTTAAGACTGTGTCATATCTCTGAATCGTTTTCTGACCATAAATTTACTAATTTACATACTTCTGTCAGAGTGATTTTTTCATGTTCGCATATGTATCAGTGAATGACGTGTTTTTATTTTACAATTCTGTGTGGTGTCATCAGTTTTTGGGGTATTTCTACTTTGGTTAAATGACTTATCAAGTTTGACAGCTTTTTTTAAGGCGTATGAGTTTAATTTACCAGCGAAAAAGGAAGTCTCTGAAAACCTTGTCAAATGTTTTAGGCTAGTAAAATGTCTGTCTTTATGAGAGTATTCTCTTTGTGCAACAAGGAAATCAAGAAGTCAGAACTCAAGAATGAGCTAAATGAGAACTACCAACCTTTATGTGATTGTAAAGTTAATGGCCACTGGCTTTCAGATTTTCACCTCCCTCAGTGTCCTGAATGTCCACACATTTGAACATTTCATTTACATATGACTATAAAACACTCGGGTAGACTTGAAACATTCTTCCCTTCTTCTTTTGATCAGGCATGATTTCCATCCCTCTTGTCAGTTTTCGTTACATCCACAGCTGTTCAACATGATGATCTCTTCTTCACATCTCTCTTCTTCTACTGTCCCTAGATGTCTCTATGCACTTTGTGGAAGTCGTCTGAGTACTTTTAAGGCAGAGTAAGTGTTTAAATCCTATGAGGAGTGAACTTTTTTAAAAGAGATTTGTACCCCAAAAAGTTGCGTATGGGGACGGGAAAAGAATTTTTTTGTTTCTGTGCTGATTTCCATTGTACAATTAACGTATGTGCACTAATGACTGTTAAATGTTTTAAGTGTCCAAACAAACAGTTGTGTCATACAGTTTGTAATTTCAAACTATGCAACTCTGGTTTTATTCTGTTAGAGCTACTACTAACATTTCCTTGTTGGGAAAAAGTGGGGTTGTTTGTAGAAACAGGATATGATTTTGTTTTTACTAAACATAGCACAACATGGAGAAGGTTTAATGATCTATTTATTTGTCTATTTTTCCACACTAGATAACAATCCCCACTCAATAGTTTTGATTTTATAGCTCTAAAAGAAAATTTATATCTTTTGTTAGTTCCTTGTGCAAGTATAATTTTGTAGAGAAGTATTTTTTATGGAGCTCCAAAGTAGGATATTACTTTAACGTTTACATTTGAATCCTCGGCACTATAATATACTTTCATTATACATTGGATATCAGAACAATATTAGGCCTAACTTGCAATACAGTTATATGATATACGATACATGGTATATGATACATGCAAAACTAATATGATACGTAATATAAGTAAACAGTTATTTGAAACCAACAATTTGTATGAAAATTGTGGAAGATATTTATCGCAAGAAAAACATTTTCTTCTTGGCTACATTTTGTAGTGATACATTTATACATACAGTATACCATATACCATGGACATTTAGTTTTTGATTAATTTATGTACTACTACATAGCTTCAACATGTTGAACTGTCTACTAATATTCATACACGCGTATATGTCTAAAAAAAAAAAAAAATTAAAATTAAACTCATCAGTGGTTACTGTACTTATAGAGCAAGATTATTGTAGTAATGTAAGTTGAAAGTGAGCAGTCCATTAATATTTGTTTCCATGGTAATTTTTTAACTTAATACAACTAATACTAAAAAATATTTAGTCAAACAAGTTAATTCTGGATTGTAACAAATCTGTAAGACTGGCTGATGTGTGTCGGTTTTGTAATTTACAATAACACCAACTTTAAACCCTACATGTGCTATATATTACGCTACTAACCTGTACCACAATAATAATTCTGTGCCTTAGTTATGTAAGGTTTTAGGCAGCACAGTGTACATATCTTGCGTAGTGAGGTTAGGTAGAGGTTGCATGTATAGACAGCTTGCTATAACAGCTGTTGTGTTTGCAGCTTTGCATGCTATGGCTGCTGACCACATGGTAAAGTATTTCTCGTTAAGAATATTTGTGATTGATTTGTGTTTTTTCTCCCTTTGCACTGTAGATTTTTTGGTCGTTGATGTATATAGAACTAAAATTACAAAATTCAATGTATTGTGAGAGTTTATATGGTTTAATATTTGGAGTTAGAATGTAGAACTTATGGTGGTTTGGGGTTACCGTAATAGTATTTTAACCGTTGGTTAGCTTTGGTTGTTTACCAGCAGGTTTATTTGTTTTCATCTTGTTTAAAATTATTAGTTTGCTGGTTTGGTTAAGTTGACCTTTGTATTGTAACTTAACCATATAAAATAAATAACATATAGAAATTCGAGATTCTTCTCACAAACAATCTTCACATCTAAATCTATGCTTTTGAATTATTAATTACAAATTTTAAATGACTTTCTGTCATAAATAAAACATTGAAGCTTCTCATGAGATGGTTCTGTACTAAGACTTTTGGGGATGATATCTTTTTAACATAAATTTACAGCTTACTTATAATGTATCATAAGTATATGAAGTTATTTTCTCTTAAGATTCAACCAATTCGAGTTATACAACATTTATATTTTTACTTAGTGGTTTTTACCTGCACTTGAGACAGATTAAGGTATTTTAGTGCTGAGTAGTTCTGATTGATGCACAAACAAATAATTTGAAAAGAACTCTTTTTTACTGATAAATCTTTGCTTTTTCGTAGCTAAAATATTTTGTTTTAAATAAATGTAAATGTTTTTTGTGGATTTATACTAAGTATAAATTGATCAGCTGGTAAAGTTCACTTAAGTTTAACTACTTGAACGTAAATTGTTTTTTGTATTCTGAATTTTTTATCCTCCTGTTGTTTTTCTCAAATGACATGTTAGTCAATTTTAAATAGTGTTATTTATACTAAAAATATTGTTTTGTTATTGTTTACTATTATTTACTTTTTTATGCATCCATTCAATGTAATATTTATCAAATTTACGTTTTTCTCCTTTGTTTTTAATTACAATTATCTTTTTTCTGTTGTATTTACTTTTTGTAAAGTTTAATAAGTTACTCTAACCCAACTTATTCAATGATATTAATTTCATGTTCAAAGTACTGTAAATATTAAAATACTGGTAAGCATTGAAGTCATCACTAAAGCTAATAAATATATTCCCATTGTTTAAAACCATATTTCTCACACACACAAAAATGTATGCATTATATATGATTTTAGTGTTGACCAGTATAGTATTTATGAAGGAACAAAATAATTTCCAAGAGAACAAGTAGGTTAGATCCAGTAAAAAAATTCGCAACAGATATATTTCAAATTTACTAGCCCAAATAGATTATATTTTGTTGTAATTTGTAAAGACACATATCAAAACACACTGAAGGTTGAAATACTAACAATGCATGTATTCCCGTAGACATCGCTGGGTGAGGGGGGCACGTTGTTCACGCTGGAGGGTGAGGACGGAGACGAGATCACGACTGCGCTGGCGCAGTTGCTGGCGCGACCTCAGGACGAGGAGCTCATGGACCAAGCCAAGGCCACGGGCCGCCAGCTGTTTGCTGACATGGCTCCGGAGGCCAGGAAAAAGAAGATAGACATCGTGGTCAGTACATAAGTACACCAGAGGTCACTAATCCGAACCACTTGTTGGGGAAAAAATGTTACAGAAATAAAATTATAAACAAAGCTCTGTGTCCTGGATTATTAAAGAGGGTTTCCAGCTAACCAGGACAATCCAGGAGAAGTTAATTTTCACGAAGGGAAAAATTTGGTGACTTTTGTATTGAACCATGCTCAGCGTCCATTTATTAACCACTGTTCTATTGGTTCTCTTTTAGAGTTCTTTGTGTAAAAATTGCTATCAGTAAGTGATAGCAAGAGATGATCATGGGTGATAATCTAATTATGCTCAATGTTTTTGTAATCAGAGGAGCAGTACATAGTCATTTACAATAAAACTGCATTGTTTTAATTTTGTTTGTAATTTTACAAAATTTTTGGTTAATTGGGGAAATAATCACAATGTTGCCTTGAATTCAGGACGTTTACGATGTTTCCATGATTGCAGGAGACAATTTTTGAGTTTTCATAATTTTTGTATGTTATTTTGCAGTTTTTAGGCTAATCCAAGCAATCTAATGAACCATACAGGCCGATTCCAACTAGTGGTATTCTGGTGTAACTTGTACCTGATTTGGAAAGTATCAGGCTGCAAAGTAGGTTATGTACTTGTAGTAACCAAGTAATGTCACATGATAAGTAATAATTGAACAAGTAGGTCCAAATGTACTATAATAGGGTACATAGGTAATTCAGTACCAATAGGAGTGTTACCATTCTACAGTTGAGGTTTTGTAATACAGACTATTGACCGTATTGTTCATTAATGAGCTCAGTTCATTAGTGTACAGTAGATCACAAGTGGTGCATGCATAAATTTCTGCCTAGACTTAAAGTGACACTTATATATTCAAGCCGAAAAATGATCATGGATCAACAAAATACTTTTGAGCTGTGTGGTTAACTATGTGTTACATTGCTTAAAATATAAAGCCACCTAAATCACGTAGCTAAAATTTTAAAACGAATAACTTCAAAAAGAGGTTTCCTCTAAACATCATTTCAGGTGGATAACAAGAGCAGTGTGTATACTCAAGAGGCTTGAAACTAAAGCGATGTTAAAGTCATATAAGAATGAGGAAAGTTTCATAACATACTCTCATGTTACAGATGGCCAAGCTGAAGGCAATGATAGATGACGAGAGCCAGAACCACCTGAGACTGACCAAGGAGGAACAGTCGAGCTCTACGACAGAAGCCAAGGCTAAGGCAGCGTTCCTGCTGGGCAAGAGTGAGGAGAAGCTGCACGCACTCACTGTCTTGATGCTGCATTGCTGTGCTGGTCTACAAGACTCTCACGACACCCTCACATTACCAAACTGCAACTGAGTGAGTACAGTGGAGGTTGTTGTTAGTTGTAGTTCCTGCTAGACAAGAGTGAGGAGAAGCTGCACGCACTCACTGTCTTGATGCTGCATTGCTGTGCTGGTCTACAAGACTCTCACGACACCCTCACATTACCAAACTGCAACTGAGTGAGTACAGTGGAGGTTGTTGTTAGTTGTAGTTCCTGCTAGACAAGAGTGAGGAGAAGCTGCACGCACTCACTGTCTTGATGCTGCATTGCTGTGCTGGTCTACAAGACTCTCACGACACCCTCACATTACCAAACTGCAACTGAGTGAGTACAGTGGAGGTTAATGTTAGTTGTAGTTCCTGCTAGACAAGAGTGAGGAGAAGCTGCACGCACTCACTGTCTTGATGCTGCATTGCTGTGCTGGTCTACAAGACTCTCACGACACCCTCACATTACCAAACTGCAACTGAGTGAGTACAGTGGAGGTTGTTGTTAGTTGTAGTTCCTGCTAGGCAAGAGTGAGGAGAAGCTGCACGCACTCACTGTCTTGATGCTGCATTGCTGTGCTGGTCTACAAGACTCTCACGACACCCTCACATTACCAAACTGCAACTGAGTGAGTACAGTGGAGGTTGTTGTTAGTTGTAGTTCCTGCTAGACAAGAGTGAGGAGAAGCTGCACGCACTCACTGTCTTGATGCTGCATTGCTGTGCTGGTCTACAAGACTCTCACGACACTCTCACATTACCAAACTGCAACTGAGTGAGTACAGTGGAGGTTGTTGTTAGTTGTAGTTCCTGCTAGACAAGAGTGAGGAGAAGCTGCACGCACTCACTGTCTTGATGCTGCATTGCTGTGCTGGTCTACAAGACTCTCACGACACCCTCACATTACCAAACTGCAACTGAGTGAGTACAGTGGAGGTTAATGTTAGTTGTAGTTCCTGCTAGACAAGAGTGAGGAGAAGCTGCACGCACTCACTGTCTTGATGCTGCATTGCTGTGCTGGTCTACAAGACTCTCACGACACCCTCACATTACCAAACTGCAACTGAGTGAGTACAGTGGAGGTTGTTGTTAGTTGTAGTTCCTGCTAGACAAGAGTGAGGAGAAGCTGCACGCACTCACTGTCTTGATGCTGCATTGCTGTGCTGGTCTACAAGACTCTCACGACACCCTCACATTACCAAACTGCAACTGAGTGAGTACAGTGGAGGTTAATGTTAGTTGTAGTTCCTGCTAGACAAGAGTGAGGAGAAGCTGCACGCACTCACTGTCTTGATGCTGCATTGCTGTGCTGGTCTACAAGACTCTCACGACACTCTCACATTACCAAACTGCAACTGAGTGAGTACAGTGGAGGTTGTTGTTAGTTGTAGTTCCTGCTAGACAAGAGTGAGGAGAAGCTGCACGCACTCACTGTCTTGATGCTGCATTGCTGTGCTGGTCTACAAGACTCTCACGACACCCTCACATTACCAAACTGCAACTGAGTGAGTACAGTGGAGGTTGTTGTTAGTTGTAGTTCCTGCTAGACAAGAGTGAGGAGAAGCTGCACGCACTCACTGTCTTGATGCTGCATTGCTGTGCTGGTCTACAAGACTCTCACGACACCCTCACATTACCAAACTGCAACTGAGTGAGTACAGTGGAGGTTAATGTTAGTTGTAGTTCCTGCTAGACAAGAGTGAGGAGAAGCTGCACGCACTCACTGTCTTGATGCTGCATTGCTGTGCTGGTCTACAAGACTCTCACGACACCCTCACATTACCAAACTGCAACTGAGTGAGTACAGTGGAGGTTGTTGTTAGTTGTAGTTCCTGCTAGACAAGAGTGAGGAGAAGCTGCACGCACTCACTGTCTTGATGCTGCATTGCTGTGCTGGTCTACAAGACTCTCACGACACCCTCACATTACCAAACTGCAACTGAGTGAGTACAGTGGAGGTTGTTGTTAGTTGTAGTTCCTGCTAGACAAGAGTGAGGAGAAGCTGCACGCACTCACTGTCTTGATGCTGCATTGCTGTGCTGGTCTACAAGACTCTCACGACACCCTCACATTACCAAACTGCAACTGAGTGAGTACAGTGGAGGTTAATGTTAGTTGTAGTTCCTGCTAGACAAGAGTGAGGAGAAGCTGCACGCACTCACTGTCTTGATGCTGCATTGCTGTGCTGGTCTACAAGACTCTCACGACACCCTCACATTACCAAACTGCAACTGAGTGAGTACAGTGGAGGTTGTTGTTAGTTGTAGTTCCTGCTAGGCAAGAGTGAGGAGAAGCTGCACGCACTCACTGTCTTGATGCTGCATTGCTGTGCTGGTCTACAAGACTCTCACGACACCCTCACATTACCAAACTGCAACTGAGTGAGTACAGTGGAGGTTGTTGTTAGTTGTAGTTCCTGCTAGACAAGAGTGAGGAGAAGCTGCACGCACTCACTGTCTTGATGCTGCATTGCTGTGCTGGTCTACAAGACTCTCACGACACCCTCACATTACCAAACTGCAACTGAGTGAGTACAGTGGAGGTTGTTGTTAGTTGTAGTTCCTGCTAGACAAGAGTGAGGAGAAGCTGCACACACTCACTGTCTTGATGCTGCATTGCTGTGCTGGTCTACAAGACTCTCACGACACCCTCACATTACCAAACTGCAACTGAGTGAGTACAGTGGAGGTTAATGTTAGTTGTAGTTCCTGCTAGACAAGAGTGAGGAGAAGCTGCACGCACTCACTGTCTTGATGCTGCATTGCTGTGCTGGTCTACAAGACTCTCACGACACCCTCACATTACCAAACTGCAACTGAGTGAGTACAGTGGAGGTTAATGTTAGTTGTAGTTCCTGCTAGACAAGAGTGAGGAGAAGCTGCGCGCACTCACTGTCTTGATGCTGCATTGCTGTGCTGGTCTACAAGACTCTCACGACACCCTCACATTACCAAACTGCAACTGAGTGAGTACAGTGGAGGTTAATGTTAGTTGTAGTTCCTGCTAGACAAGAGTGAGGAGAAGCTGCACGCACTCACTGTCTTGATGCTGCATTGCTGTGCTGGTCTACAAGACTCTCACGACACCCTCACATTACCAAACTGCAACTGAGTGAGTACAGTGGAGGTTAATGTTAGTTGTAGTTCCTGCTAGACAAGAGTGAGGAGAAGCTGCACGCACTCACTGTCTTGATGCTGCATTGCTGTGCTGGTCTACAAGACTCTCACGACACCCTCACATTACCAAACTGCAACTGAGTGAGTACAGTGGAGGTTAATGTTAGTTGTAGTTCCTGCTAGACAAGAGTGAGGAGAAGCTGCACGCACTCACTGTCTTGATGCTGCATTGCTGTGCTGGTCTACAAGACTCTCACGACACTCTCACATTACCAAACTGCAACTGAGTGAGTACAGTGGAGGTTGTTGTTAGTTGTAGTTCCTGCTAGACAAGAGTGAGGAGAAGCTGCACGCACTCACTGTCTTGATGCTGCATTGCTGTGCTGGTCTACAAGACTCTCACGACACCCTCACATTACCAAACTGCAACTGAGTGAGTACAGTGGAGGTTGTTGTTAGTTGTAGTTCCTGCTAGGCAAGAGTGAGGAGAAGCTGCACGCACTCACTGTCTTGATGCTGCATTGCTGTGCTGGTCATAAGTTAAAAGAATTTGGAGATACTGATATCATCATAACAGTTCGAGATAGCTATGATTATGACGATTATGATTACTATCCTAAACAAAAAAACACTAGCTAAAATTATTCTAGCAATCACATTGGAAATACTAGGATTCCTTTAGTACTTAATATAGGCTTAATTATTGCTCTAGCAAGTTAGTCGGATAAGTGGATTGCTCTAGTACAGGGGCAGATGCTTAGACTGCTCCAGCAATTGGATTGGATGCTAAGAATGATGTAGCACTGGGCTCTGAGCTATAGACTGTTCTATTATTTGGTTCAAATGCTTAGATTGCTCTGGCACAGGTTAGTAACATCAAGGCTGTTTAGAGAAGTATTTATCATGGTCGGCTGACCGGGAGCGAATGAGAGGGGTGTAGGCACTTAACCGAGGCTGTAATCCTCTTAATCACGGTCGGTTGACCTGTCAGTTCTAGGTTGGTGTCGAACGCTTCCGCATCATACCGTGCATAGCCGAACTGTTCGCGGCAAATTGTTAGCTCTATCACCGTCGCTGTCAAAACGTATCTTTTGTAGGTTAAATTTTAATTAAATTTAATTTAACTATCCTAACCCAACCAAACTAACCAAACTTTCTGACAATGAAAAATTGAATGAAGGTTTCCTAATCGAAAAATAGTTCTGATCATCAAATTATAAATTCTAACAAAAGATGTACAGTTAAGAAGTAATCGCATTCTAAGCGAAATCTTTGACGAAAAGTTAACGCCTCCGGTGGGATTCAGAATTCTTGATTCCCCACCCCTCCTCCGGTGACCACTACCCTCAGGCCATAAATCAGGGGATTAGCCTAAACAAAGATCTGGTCCGTTGTCCGTCTCCCGAATGAGAGAGTCTTTCTGGGCATGCTTGCATTTAAGACCCTTGACCTTGCGTTCGCAGAGGTTCTGAAATGGCCAGTCATTGTAAAAGACCGCTAAACCAATAGGTCTCAAGTTCTATCATTTGTTTACTGTTTCAAGCCATTTTAGCACGTTTGGCAGAATCGGATGCAATTGCATTGTCAACAGTAGGTGTAAGTAAAAACTGAAGAAAAAAATCTGATAATATTTCTTAAAAACATTTTTGTGTTGGTCCTCTACTAATATCTGTTGTGTTTCTGTACACAGGATCTTTCTTCTGACTTCTTCGTCTCCGTCCTTGCGGATTCTTCTAGTCTCCAGTCTTTCTGTAATTTTAAGCCACTGAATCCATATCACTCTGCTTCAGGAAAACTTTAGTTACTACATTTTACCAAAATGACACTTTTAGTTGGTCACTACGTTTAAGAATATTATCTAGAATAACATTAGGGATTTTAGTCATTTAGACTTTTAATTTTACTTTATATTTTTATATGACCTTATATTTTTTTTTTCATTGAGTGATTTTTCTCAAATATTTTTGTACAAAAGTAAACACTTGTTTCAGTATCACTTGAGGTTGGATGGTTTTATATTGATTATTGAGTGCTTTTGTCTGTTAAATATCACAATATACTTTTAGTCTACTTATGCTTTTTACCTAGTCACTTGTTGAATTTTAATTTAGGAGGTGTAGCCTATGTTATTTACATGTTATCGTGCTTGTTTCCTTGAAAGTTTTACTTTTTGTGACTCCCTTTTTAGTATGGTTTTGGTGCTTTTATATTCTGTAAAGTTAAATTCATACTGCTAAGGTGAGAATTAAATAAGAAAACAAGAGATTAGTAAAATTGTATGCATTTTAAATAAAAGAAATCAATTTTAAAAAATCTTGAATTTATGTTTTTTTTCATATTAAAAACTTTATTGAAACAATCATCTTTCTTAACTGCAGTGTTAATTAATTGAATTGCCAAAATACCTAAAACAGTTTGAAACAAAAATGACAAAAGGGCCTGAGCATTTTACGTCAATTGGAGGATGGTTTGAGATTGGTTGTTTTTTCTACCCCAAAGCTGTAAGATACTTTTTGTAAATCCTAGTTTATGTGTGCCTTAAAGTACGTTAAGAGTTTGTTGGTTATATGTGATCGAGAAGCTATTACCCATAGTAGTTTGCCTAGTTGATTGAATTAAAATAGAAATTTAATACGAGGCTCAACTGTTGTTTTCTAATTGGAAATTAATTTGGTGTGTTGAGTTGAAATGGAATGCATTTACAATTTTTGGCCTAGATAGGGCTTTAACCGTGCTATGAACGAAATAGCATATGCCAGTGGTGTAAATTCTTGAAAGAATTCAAGAAAAGCAATTTATTACTTTGGTAAAGTGTTTAAAATTTGAACTGGTTTTTGGCGACAATCTTTGTCACTGTGGTATTTTTATTTGTAAATACAATATCAGATTCTATAGTTATAGAATTAAAAATGTGATTAATTGATATTTAATTTTTCATCGAAACACTGTTATCCTGAGAATGTGAAACCAAATGGATTTGTTTAGTATATTTCATGACATAGCATAATATATATGTCATAATATTGCATGATATTATAGCATTAGTTAAATAACTGATAACCAAAAATGTATCCAAAGGTTTTTTAAATATGTCCCTCCGAGATGTGAGCATTTAACGATATTTTACTGCCAAAACATAACCTCAGGTACTGTGTGACCTGAGTTAACTTTACATATTGAAAAAAAAGTATATATATATTGAAGAAAACCAGTGTGTTAATGAATATTGGCATATAAATAACAGTAAAACATTTGTTTTCTCCTTGAATTGTTACTAATTGTTCCTTTTATGTTTCCTAAGACTTGTAAGTTGGTAAATTGATTTTTTTTACAATATCTAACATTTTGCTCATGATTTGAAGTATTTATCCTTAGTTCCTAAAGGTACTGCTTTCAGTAATAACCATTCTGCAAAGTTTTAGTTCCTACAATTAGATTTTGTTTAGCTAGTTTGTGAAGTTTTTAGTGGTAAAAAAAGTATTTGTAAAACAATTTACTCCTTTTTAGGAAGAGTAGTAAGTTAGGAATGAATTTAGATTGATTTCTATGATTGTGTGGTATATGATATATTTCCTTCATTTTTGTTTTAACTGGAACACAAACTATTAATGAATTTTTACCCATTGTTTTTTTTAACCTACCTCTTAAGTTAATTTTGACTCACAACCCCAAATACATATGTCAATTAATTTGAATAATGGAATATATTTTTGGATAGCTTAAAACCACACAAAGTTCAGATCTTGCAAATACTTATTCCCATTAAATGTTTTGTTTATTATCCTTTTCCTTTTGACTTTAACAAGTAAAGTGGACTCATTCATTTATATCATACCATTAAACAGTTACTGTACATTTAAATCAGCTTCTTCCAAAGTAATGTGTAAATTAGAAATAGAAATAGATATGTTTTGTACATATACAGGCCTACTTGTTTGTCAACACTCAAGCATTGCTTTGTTATGTAGAATTGCGTCATAGGTATTTTGGAGATTATTGTAGAAACGCCATTTAGTGTAAACGCGGCTGTCCTTGCATTTGCATATCATTGTAAAATAATAAAGTTATTTGATTTTACATGTGTTCCTTATTACCATTATTAACACATAAAATAAAAACTAAAAGAACTTTTTGTAAAGGAATATAATTCAGTTAGCTTACTTACCTTTACTTCCAGGGATTCCAATGGAAGGTGGATATTTAGCCGCACCAACAAACGTCACTATCCGGTCCTCTCCATTTTCGTCCACTGCCTCAGCAATTCTCACTTGCTTCCATGACCTCTAACCAAGGTCTTCCTAGGGGATCTAACTATACACTTGTCATTTTTCAGTTGATTTATTTTCTCCAATTAGTTCAGTCTTGGGAAATTTTGCCCTTTGCAATTGATCTCAACTGTTTATATTTCCTATTTCCGTTATCCTTGTCGACAATTATTGTATATTAAATAATAAAATTCAACTCAAAATGGTATCAATTATTAGTTTACTCAATCCATTCTAATTGGTAAAAATAAACAATGAATTAATGAACACATGTTCATTATCATAACATAACTATACATCAAGTCCCCAATCGTCTCAGTAAAGGCTAATGATGATATGGAGGGAAAAGTGTCGCTCCTGTCCAGTACACTATTGCACTACAGTCAATTGGCAGCAGTTCACGCTCGCTGAGTAATCAAAAGAGATTGGCATAGGCATAAAATTGCAAGCGAGTTAAACATATTCACTCTCGCTTTGTCTCACAGTCGAAATGGAGGCAAACTTGGATGTAGAAGGCATAGCATGAACTTTTTGAGCATATGCTTACAACTATGTTTACACACGAGAAAAAAGTCGTCAAACCAAGGGCGGGAAGGAGATGGTGTGTGAAGGAAATTCATTGGAACAGAACAAGGTAAACAAAATAAACCTAATACTGTATTTACTACTAAAAAGTAAAAGCGAAATTGCCAGAGTACCGGAAGTGAAATAATATAAAAAATCGTAAATGATGATTGCAAAGCTCTGATTGAAGTTTTAAATGGGCTCGGTTCGGAGCAGCACGATCAAAGTGCATGGGCATATAAAGGAGTTTAAATAATTAACTAGGCCTAAGACTTTTCATTATAAAATATATTGCTTATTAAACATAATTACTGACTAACATTATTTATCATTATAAAGTAATGGAAAAATGAAATTTAGTTTATTTTTTAGTTGTTAACTTGGCTTATGGACATAAGACGGCTGTTTATCAATGTAATAATAAAATAAATAAGATCATAATACTTAATAACTATTGAAAACTTGCATGATGTATAAATACAGTTCAGAGAAGTTTTGTAACACAATGTATAAAAACAGTTCAGAGAAGTTGTGTAATACAAAACAGCTGGTAGTAGCCTATAAATTATTGATTTTATTTTATAATCCACTTGCTAGGGGGGTTCCTGTGTGCATTTTATGTATAGAAAAACACCCTAAGGGATCATGTAGGTACTATATGGGTTATCATTTTTCACGTGGGTGCCAGCTTGGCAGAGTGGGCATAACCTCAGAATCCGCCATTTTAAAAATGGCGGCGGCATTTATTACATGAAACTCATTAGGAGCTTATATCTCGAAAACGGTAATATATAGCGAGTTACTTTTATAACAATAAATGTAGCTTACACAATAAGGAAAAACTTTTGTATTTACAAAAATGCCCTAAATATAACTATTTAGGAGTAGTTGAGCAATTTATGTTAATTTGATCTATACATTTTTACTCTGTTTGACAAAAAATTCTAATATCTTTAAAAAAATAAAAAACTGTTTTTTAAATTTGGCACATAGCACTAATTGCTCTTTACATCTAACGTCTAAATACCCCTGTCGCAGCAAACCTGCAGAATCAGCAAACATTTACCTGGCTGCATTTCTACTAAAATATTAAAATTGATCGATTGATTTCCTATTTAAATGACATTGATTTGTAATTAGTACTTACGTTTGCTGCTTCAGGGAAGGTATTTAGGTGTTTTTTATATATTTTTATTGAAATGTTGATAGCTTAGTATGAATGAAACAACATTTTTGAAATTTGACTATAATATATCCATAAACAAGCAAACTAAAACAGTTTATTTATTCTCCATAAGAATAACATGGGAATTTTAAACTTAAATTTTTTTTTTTATTATTTCCGTAACTTTTGGGCATACAACGCTTCAATATACAAAGTTATTTATTTTTTGAGCTCTACAAAATGGTTTCGTTCATTATAAAATGTCGTGTTTTTAGGGTCGAAAATCGTAAAAATCCATTTTTACCCCATTAAACTCCCCATAAACCCCCGTTCCCATAGTCCGATCGTGCTGGTATAATAGTCCGAATTCGTCTGAAAACGAAGGTTTACACGTTTGTGATAAATTTCATCAAAATTGGATCATTTTTGCTCGAGTTATCAAATTAAGTCGTAGTTCTGTCTTCGGATACAGATGTCGTAGTGTTGGCTTTACACTTTATGAATGGATTCACTTCGGAAGGTTTGCAGGATTTGTGGATGCGACTTGGTACAGCCAGAACTTCATGATATGTACTAGTTCACATTATAGCAAACAGGCTTGGAAGTAACCTTTGCTCAGTTCTCTCAGCACTCCATATTTTAACGGGCTGTGACTTTGCCAGCAAATTTGGAACAAAGCGTGCTACCCTAAAATGTAATCCAAGTACAGTACTTTGCTAATGGACTTTGGAAAAGATGAGGAGGAAGAGATAGAATAAAGTTTGAAAAACACAGTGAAGTATCTAGTTCACATTAAAAAAAAGGATACTCAGTGTGAAACTATGATTGATCTAAGACACTGGATATACTTACACTGTCACTGTACAAAGAATATCCTTAGGTCGCAAAAGATTTTCTGTCTGGTAGAGCTACTATACAGCATATCTTACGTGCTTTTTATTGTAGCCTACTCCAAATCCATTGCATGGAAGAACACGTTTTTCAACTCGATCCTTTGAGTTTTGGACACAGTGATGGTGGTTACTCTTTGCCGCAATGCTCACAAGTATATTGTGAACAGTTTAATTTTTCTGATGACTATAAAAGGGAACAGATATAATTCCTCTTAACCCAAAAGGCTTATAATTTAGATCCAATAACTGCGCTCAAATTTTATGATCCACAAAACTAGTTCAATATCAATACAATCAGTCCAAAGCAGCCTACCACCAAGGACAATGTCAAGGTACTGGTTGTGTTAACGCGACGTCAATGCTTGGCCGATGCACCAACTTTGCCGCCGGTCCCGTTCCCGCTCCATCGCCGTTTTAATAATAAATGTTATGAATTATAATAATAATTTCTATTACATCCGTAGATTTATTATTATTTGTAATAATAAAAATTCAGTATATAGAAAGGTTTATATTTATTTTTATATTTGTATGCGTCATTTAATAACAAAAAAATAATTTAAAAATATGTTATATTATTTTAATAGCTTATATATCTGCCAGAAGCTTCTCGAATGCTTTTTGCAGGTTTTTTACCCTAAATGCGAAGAAATAATTTTTGCTATGTGCCAAATTACAAAATAACAGCTTTTTTTATAATTATTTGATTTTTTTGGCAACAGAGATAAAATGTATAGGTTAAATACTATGAATATGACAATTTTAATATTTTAGTAGAAATGCAGCCAGGTAAATGTTTGCTTAGTCTGCAGGTTTGCTTCGGTGGGGGTATTTTGACCTTAAATATAAAGAGAAATAAGTTCTATGTGCAAAATTAAAAAGGAACAGTTTTTTAAAGATATTAGAATTTTTTTGTCAAACAAAGTAAAAATTTATAGGTTGAATTAACATAAATTGCTCAACTACTCCTAAATAGTTATATTTAGGGCATTTTTGTAAATACAAAAGTTTTTCCTTATTGTCTAAGCAACATTTATTGTTATAAAAGTAACTCGCTATATATTACCGTTTTCGAGATATAAGCTCCTAATGAGTTTCATGTAATAAATGCCGCCGCCATTTTTAAAATGGCGGATTCTGAGGTTATGCCCACTCTGCCAAGCTGGCACCCACGTGAAAAATGATAACCCACATAGTACCTACATGATCCCTTAGGGTGTTTTTCTATACATAAAATGCACACAGGAACCCCCCTAGCAAGTGGATTATTAACACAGTTTTACACATTGTACAAGCTTCAAAACATGTATGAACCCTAAACATTGTACAAGCTTCAAAACATGTATGAACCCTAATTAATGTATACAAAATTAGTAAACTA